GGTTTGCTTATCCAGCCTAATTCCCCTCAGGTGTACCCTATCCAGTTAATTGGCCCCCTTCTCTGCCTCATTAACCCTTTTAAGGCTGGTATGGGGTGAACACCCAATCACAGTTATATTTCAGAACCAAATTTGGCCTTCATATTAGCTTGCTGGAGACCTGGCCTTTGGTCTCAGTTGAAGAGCTCTATGGCCAGAATGTAAGGGTATGTCTACACTGCACAAAAACAAAAACTCTGCAGCATCAAGTCTCAGCATCAAGCTCAATGGACTTGGGCTCATGCTATGGGGCCAAAAACACCATCTATACTGCTAAATATACCTGTGGCAGGTGGGGGTGCAGTCAGACGTGCCAAACCTGCGAAAAAAATGCAGAAATTGGGCTTGTTTTCGGCTTAATTGGCTTGTGAGTTGCTTGTTGGCTAGTTTTTGGGTTACAGCTTGTTGCTTTTTTTTGATGGGCTCCTGGCAAGAGAGGGCAACCAGGAGCAAGGGGAGGAGAATCAGGGGTGCACAGCTGGCCCACCACAGTCTCAGACTGCACACCGGGGATATCTAGTCACATAGAGTGTTGTGACTCTTAGGGCTTGGCTTGTTTTGACCTTGTTTTGAAATGGGATTAGCTTAATTTTTAGTTTATTTTGAAAGGCAGGGTGCTTATTTACCACGTGAAAGTTAGCAACTGTGTGTGCAGTATACGTCCACTACACACCACCATAAGTAGTGTGCATTGTAAACATGCCCTCAGAGTGGACTATGACAGTGAAACTATTCCATATAAAAGGAAATCAGATTACAGGGTGATGCAGAAATTTCACAGATGCCTTCTCCCAAACTGAAAAAAGTAATCTTGGATGGATACTTAAGCAGAGAACAAGATGCTCTCTCTCTCTCTCTCTCTAGAGCCAATCCAGTCCCGCTGTGCAGTGCTGCGCTACACCAAGCTGACAGATGCTCAGATCCTTGCAAGGTTAATGAAGATTGTTGAGAGAGAGAATGTACAATACACAGATGATGGACTGGAAGCTATTATCTTCACAGCACAAGGAGATATGAGACAGGTATTAAAACAAACCCAGCAAAAGAAAGGTCTTCTTACTGAAGTACAAAGCCTGGGGTTGTGGCCTTACAGGCTTTAAGTTGTGGGAAGTAAAGGGGAGATTACATGATCTGCAGTATTCCAGTAACTAAACTGTATGGGTTTGCTGAATTCTGAAATGTCTAGTCACTCGACCCTGCATCAATGGAAATTGAATGCTGACCTGTAGCTGGAGGAAGTAAAATCTTCACAGCTCTTAGAGTTTGTGCTATTGATTCGTGGGAATGCTTGATACGGCAGCAGTTCCGGAAAAGTCTCTGGTTGAGTCTGAGGAGGGGAGCCAGAGGTAGAGCTTTTCAGATAGTAACAGAAACGTTAATTTTACTCTTTACAGGCACTAAACAACTTGCAGTCCACCTGTTCTGGATTTGGCTTTATTAACAGTGAGAATGTGTTTAAGGTTAGTAAAAGTTCTTCTAGCAAGATGTGATTGCTCAGTATTTGCACTGTAATGGGAACATACATAAACACGTTTTCTTCCTAGTTTTCAGTATCTGGCATCGTTCCCACACAAAGAATACTTGAAGTCTGTCAGCTCAACTATATCAGACATTGTTTAGGACACGTAAAAGTTTGACATTGCTTTGTCAATTCCCAAGCAGTATTATGTCTTGAACAAGATTGCTACGTTAAACATAAGAGATGCATGTCCCTTATGAAAAGACTGACACAAAGTAAGAGGTTTTCCCTTTAATGCTGGAGAAAGAATGCATCTGAATGTAAACTGACACAGCTGAGACCCATTGTCTGTATAGCAAATAATGAATCTTAATGGGACTGCTGTGAAATTCAGTGATAGTAACTGTTAATGCCTAGTATGTTGGGTGCTTTGTACTCAGTGATATAAAGTCTGACTTAATGTTGGGTGAGTAATTACGTTACCAGCTAAGTTAGTCACTTAAAAATAAAATGTGTGGTGAACAGCCTGTATTATAGGGCTTTCTCAGATATAGCATTTAAACTATCAACTATATAGAAGACTTAAAATTATTCAGGGTATTTGGGTGTAGGAGGGAATATGTGCATTGATGTTTCCTAAAATTCTAATTTCTCTTTGGTATAGGTGTGTGATGAGCCACACCCTCTGCTAGTGAAGGAAATGATACAGCACTGTGTGAATGCAAATATTGATGAAGCATACAAGGTATGTATTTTTGTCTTTTCAGACACTTTCTCAACAGAATGCTTGCTTTTCAGAAGATTTTAGTTTACCTTACTTTCCATCGAAAACAAAAGTAAAACTATACAAATGCAGATAAATTCATGAATATAAACCTTTTTCATGTAAGGAATCTTAATACGTAGAAATCCTGATAGCATGTATATTTCTACACTGAGGCATCTTTGTGATTGACTGGATCTAAATGTCTGAATACAAGTGACACCACATTAAGTGACACACTTTAATTCACACACACAAAGCTCCACTTCTCAAAAATTTAGTAGGCAAGACAAGATAAGGTCTAGTATCACTACCTGTATTTTCAAAGAACATACTACAGAGCCGTTACTGGTGTATTTTGAAAATGGAAAAAATCTGTTGCCAAGATAAACAAAATACATCTTAAGCACTATCCTTGCTTTCAGTCTTCACTTGCAACTCATTCATAATTATGTGAATTATTTACTGGAGAGGATGAATGAGGTTCTGATATTTTACCCTAAACAGGCCCTTCTGACATCCACCCACCTCCCAACTCTTTGGTGCCATTTTTAATTTATACCTCTCTGCTGTTGTCAGACAGTCATGGTGTTTCCACTTGCAAAGGAAAACTTGTGTTCATTATAGAATCCCACCAATACTATTTCGTAATATGGCTGGTGGAAAAAGGTTTTGGTCTAAATAACATGTCTGTTCTCTGCTGGCCTCTGAAACAGCTCAATCCCAAACCTGGATTATTCTAATGGTACTATGAAGGGTACCAGGGAACTTGCGGGATTTGAATATAGACTGTTTACCTTATGGTGGCAGATGTAGCTACTGTGTAACAATACTGGATATAAATATTAGGGCAGTAGCAGCACCAGGAGCAAATGTCTGCGCTCAGATCACTGAACAGGAAACTTGTAGTTGTTCTGGTAAAAGATGCTAAATACAGCAATAAAATATCAATTTATTAGTTTATAAATTGGAGACCATTGATCCTGGCTCCATAAATTTGCAGCTTGCCTCAGATGTAATTATGTCTCAGGTGAAAAAAAGTAACGACCAAAACAAGTACGAATGGAGTGTCACTTTGGCACAAAACTTCTTGCTAGCACAGGATGGAGATTAAACCGGTTGCTTTAACATTAAAAAACTATATGCAGTTTCACCATGTGGGAAATGATTCATATACAAAAATGAGTACAAACTTGATCCACGTAACTTAATTTTCCTGGGGGGAAAAAGTTAACATTTATTTTCTCCTGCACAGATTCTTGCTCACTTGTGGCGACTTGGGTACTCACCAGAAGATATAGTTGGCAATATCTTCAGAGTGTGTAAAACCTTCCAGATGCCGGAGTATCTGAAATTGGAGTTCATCAAGGTTAGTGCTAGCCTCATTATCACATTCGTCTTTAAAAAAAACAAAAAATGATTCCTATTAAAGGGGCAGCCTCAGTTTGTTCTCCAAGAATTGCTAGTTCTTAGTACAAAAGGTATCTAAACCTCTCACTGCGTTTCCCCTCCCATAAACTTTTCATAAGAAGGGTGAGAGTTTATTAACACTTTAACAGTAAACTCCCATGCAAGCTCAAGGTGCTATATCATTTAATTAGACTTAGTCATAATATAATCCTATTCAGATAATGAACAAACTCAGCTGGCCACTAAATCAAAGCTTCAAATAATCATTTCAGCCCTTGGCCCTGCAACGTACGTTCTTATTTCCTCTAAAACTCTGCCAAAATAAATGGCTTTTGTAGCATGGCCAGATGGTCATCAAGTCTGAGTTATTTCAGTAGCTTACTAAAGGCTAAATGGTACTGAGTTCTAATTTGACATGTGATAATCATTGTACGTATTGGAATCAGACCTCTTAGGGTTAAATCCTGCCCTCAGATACAGGCATAGTGCTTCCTTGAAGGAAAACGGGAGAGAGATGCTTGCACCACAGAGCAGTATTTGACCTGATCTATCAGAAAGTTGTTGTATTACCCTAACGTGGCTGGCTTCAAGAAGAAATCAGCCCTACGCTTGTTGACAACTTAATTTTTCCTTCAGCTCAGGTAGCTTGAGGGCAGCATCTTTGGAGCGGACGGGCAAGCTCTATTCCATATGGTGTATATGTAATTCATTAATGTCTGGGGACTCTGTACAGTGTGTGCTATCACAGGACAAAGTAGACAACGCAAACTACTCTTGCTGCTGGGGGAAAAAGTACAAGTCAGTCTTCCACGAAAACTGCCTCACTTTGCTGTAGAAATGTAGACAAAGCAACAGAAAAAGCTGAGGTTTGACACCTAATATTTGTATTGCCAGGAAATTGGATATACTCACATGAAGATAGCAGAAGGGGTGAATTCTCTCTTGCAGATGGCTGGACTGCTTGCCAGGCTCTGTCAGAAGACGGCTGCTCCTGCAGAAAGTTAAATGGAGTATTTTACTGGACTGCAATTGCAGCCTTGATTCTGGAAGTATGAGGTTACAGTGTTTAAGGCCAGCAGCTATCTGCATACTAGAACCTTGTGTATATAGTAAATTCTGAATTCAGTGAACTTATTCTCTGTTCTTGCTGAATCTGAAAATGAAAGCCAGCATTTGTTTTTAAATTACTTTGTACTTTTTTTTAGGCCAAATAAACTTAAAATCCACTGAGAGCGGTTGTGTCTGTGGTGTAAAAGTGGTGGGGTAGGACTGGATAGTACAGATGATTAGCAATAGAATTAAAACCCCTTGTCCTGGTCTGCCTTTTGAAATCGTTCATGGCTGTACTGACCAGAAGTTAACAGCCCATGGCTGTTCAGTGACCTGTGAAATGAAATGGTGTCAATCTCATTCCTAGTGGACAGATGTATCCATCAAACAACGGATCGTGACTGGAGATCTCAGTGAAGCCAAGGATGAAATGGGCTGTGGAAAATGACCTACCCTTTTGCGCACAGGTGATTTCACTAGGTTCGTGTTGAGGTGTATTGAGCAGGATCTAAGCTATACCTGTGCTGTGAATAACAGGGAAACCATCCAGTAGGCACCTTTAATACAACTAACAAAATGTGTGGTATAATAAAGCGCAGATGTAGTCGATGTGACACCTTCCCTTGGATACTGCCTTTGGAACCTTTGAAAATGGAAGTACTGTGTCAGTATTGAAGTGTGTGCCCATCTCAAATAGATGCTGGTGCATTCTAGATTTAGGCATCAATTCTTGCTGGCCTGGGTTAACTTAATAATCATGAGAAATGAAGAATGCCTGATCTTTTGCCTGTAGGATTAATTCATCTAAAAGCTAAGGCATCTATTCTCCCCTTCCATGTTCAGATTCAGAAGTAATGAGCAAGCAGTTCAAATAAAGTATCAGAGGGGAAGCCGTCTTAGTCTGTATCCACAAAAACGGTGGCACCTTAAAGACTAACACGTTCATTTGGGCGGACTCCTCATAGTTCAAATAAAGTTGTTCCTCTCATAAGCAGTAACTGTAAAATACAAAGGGAATATAAATATGGAGTGAAGATTTTACCTACCTCTCCAGGAAGTCTAAGAGAAGGCTTCTGGAAATGGAGCCATGTTAAAATACCCCAAGTTCATAATTTACAGGAATTATGGATACACAGAAGGAAGACAAATTAATTGTTGATGCTGCTGGCGATTACCTGGTCATGCTTCTGTAGGTGGGGAAAATGTCGTGCATGATTCAGCTGCATTATGTACATCCCTGCTCACTGAAGAGATATGAGAGTTGGGTGAATTACTGTATACACAAATCTCATTGGCTGTAGGGATTTCAGTTTAGGAAAGATTTGTAATTTTTTCAGATGTAAAAAAGTGGAAATAGTTAAGGCAGTTTGGCAGAATGATGTGACAAGTTCCTCTTCTGAAAGGGTAGTTCTAGACTGTGGAATGGAGAGGGAAGCTGTGAATGAGGCCTTTGCATCCAAAGGACAGGTACACTTGGTCTAGGTCCTGATTGGTAATGCAAATGAAGACAGCACTATAAGCACGTAAGAGAGAGTCAAAGTATTTTATTTAATTAACACAGTATTTCACAAAGTCTCTATCAAACTGCGTACATCATCACGGACACTTCTGATTCTCAATGTATACAGCAACTCCTTAGTACAATTATAAACTATGCATTTATTAAATACTATAAAATCCAGGTTGGGACCCTAATCTGCTGCATGCTCTACACACACAGTCTTGGCCCCAAAGAGTTTACCAATCTGAATAGAGTAGGCAGCCAAGCAAGATATGAAAGGCACTGAACCACTTCCCGAATCCTTCCCCTTTTTCCATGTATTCTAGGCAACCTGTTCTGCCCTTAATGACCCTCATTTTCATAGCATTTACTACAGGCCCAGTCAGAAGCAAGGGGAACGAACTACAATTGCAGATTAGTCAGGTGTTCAAGGGCTTCCACGGGCACAGCGGCCAAGGCCCTATAGGGTTAGTCTTTGCCCCCATTGTATCCTCCACTGGGATCTCCTAGCTGTACATTTTCCCTATTCCCATAGAGGAGAGAAGAGCAGCTTTTGGTAAGGTCTAGAATCTAGGGTGACTCCCTCTTCTGTAGCAGCTGCTGCCTGTTCTCCTCCTCCCACCATCAGCAGCTTCCAGCAGAACCCCCCAGGATTGAATGAAGGTGTGGTCGTAGATGTATTCAGCTTTGCGCTATTCCCCGTCTCCCTGGATTGTTGCTGGAACACACAGGCTGGATGCTACTCCCATTCAGTGGCAGCCAACATTGTGCATACCCTGAATTCCCTGTACGCCTGCAAATTAAAGATTTCTGAAAAGGCAACCAATCTGGTCATTGTAGATACTTTTATTTGTGTACACAGGTGACAAAGGAAATGTTAGTAATGGGTGGGTGTGTTTTAAAAGCTACACTGTAGAATTCCAATCACTTCAATATAATTTATTGTAAAATTTACTGGATATGTTCCAGCACACTGTCACCTTTGAATGAAAGATGCCCTTTTTATTTTAAAGTGCTTCACAAAACTAAGAAAGGGTTTACCTTGCTTTACAAAGGACCACCAGAAGGTGGGGATTTGCCTGCATTTTCACACTGGCAGCTTGGGGAATAGAATCTGTATCTTCTCCTTTAATCACTCTCCTACCCCATTTATCTTACACACTTTGAACTCCTGTTTGGGCAACAAATATTTTCCATAAATGCTCCAGGAAATATTACTTGGTTTATTCACCTCTCCCTGCTGAGCACAGAGTACAATAAATCCTGTATTGCCCTGGCCTAACATCTGTCGAAATCCTGGAACTTATTCAGAGTTCTGTTACTTGATTAACTGTATCCCAGGCAATTTGTATTACCACTAAACTTTAAGCATTTGAACATCTCTCTCCAGGTATTACATCAGAATCTTAAACGAACACATCAACACAATTGCACTTCTCTGACAACTGAGACCAACATTTTCAGAATTGAATTGTAATTTTGAGACACCTTTATAGAGTCAACACTTCTGAAAATGAGGCAGTTTTGAGAGGTATCATATTGGACATTCATCATCACCGGTCACATAACATTTTGCATGGTCTATCAAGTAACACAATATTTCTACAACAAAGGTTAGAACTTTTCTGTTCAGTCACTTTGGATGAAATTCACCTTTCAACAAAAGAGCCAGGACACGGTCTATGCAGTGCATAAATCTTCAGATTAGGGCTTTAATGGTTTATTAGGCTTTGGGTTGTTCTTCAAAGGTAAATTGCACCCTCAGTCTATTGTCTGTGTCCCTTATTTGTGTGGGCTCTTTGCACAGCAGAGAAGAAAAGAAAGTGTGATTCTAGATACCAACTGGTAGGAAACTTGAGTAGGTGTAAAACCGACCCTGTTTAACTCCTGTTCTGAAACTAACTAGGTGTACCCCTTTTAAGAGGTTAAGGACGTTCTAGATAGTTCTCTTTCCTACATGGACTACATTAAAGGCCCTGTCTTGCTGCTCTTTGGAGACTTCAGGAATACACCCATTAGTGGGAGCTGCAATTAAGTTTTCCCCCAATCACTAATTACAAAATGCTTGATTGGCCTCCTAGTTTCAGACACAAGAGTAACAGGCACCTTGTTGCTGTGATTAAGGTGTCTCAAATACAAATGAAATGTCAAATCCACATCTGTAAAGAGGCTTAAATTCAACCTTAACTCTCACTGTGCATAGACGGATTAGATCAAATAGACTCCTCCACTCAGAGCAAAATTTCATAAGTGAAGTAATTTGTAGTAGGAAAGGTTTCATGTCCATACCTTCCACTGCATAGCTGACTCTTACTACCCTTATTCAAGGTTCTTTCTAATCACTGGTAACAAAAGGGAGGAAATTGCTTGTGTGACCCTTTTCCCTGCTAGTTAGAGAGTACCTGTTCATGCCAGAGCATAAAAGCTTGGTGAACCAGTTTCTAGCAATAACTAGGACTGGCAGGAGACAGTCGCTCCAACACATAACTTGCTGTTCTAAAAACTCCCTTACTAGGCATTTACCTAACCGTTCTCACTCTACCGTGGGTGAAGTTTACCCCTATGCAGCAGGCCAGCATGTACACCACTTAAAACTAAAGTAGTGCGTGAGCTTTTCCTTGATTTCCTGCACAGAGGTGCATTTCACTCTCAACGAGCATGTGCTGTAATGCTGCCAGGTAAAACGCTATGCTCCTGAACATTTTAGTGGTCAGAACTAAAGCATGGTTCAAATGCAAGGTCTGAGTTCTAGCAATTTTGAAAAGCAGGTGCAATTCCTGAGGCTGGCAATGCGGTAAAGATGAGCTCAGGGCCCTGTTACCTGTCTCAACTCCTATGGATGGCTGTAAAATAAATTCCAAAAGCACAAGAAAGATACTATCTGACAGCACTCTGAATATGATCTGTAGCTGCAGTGATCTTGTTTGTAGTAGCCTTCGGCCCTTCACCATTTGTGAGCACTTCAGTGTATTACTTAGCTATACAGAACTACTCCTATTCTAAAAACTTGGCATCTGGCTGGAAGGTTCGATCCCTCTGTTGGAAGCAGTGTCTGTCCAAGAGCTTTGCTACATTGGGAACTAAACAAGAAATATAATTCATCCGCTTTAATGCCTCCTTACACGAGTCAACTTGGCAAGTTAAACTGTCAACTGCGTTGCTGCTCAGCGGTTTAAAGATTCATTTCACACTTGACAGCAGAAAACATTGGTGAGCAGGCAAGCCATCGCTCCCTTGAATGGATGTGGAGGAAACTCTGACAGAATAACAAAACCTTGGCATTTCCTCTCGATAACTAGGGGACTTCCATAAAGATCCACCAAGCAGCTGAAATTCACTTGTCGGGAGGGAGGGGGGTGGGCTTTCTCCATATGCTTTTTCCAGTTATTTTTGTGGGACTTCTGGATCCAGTGCATTTACTTTCAGCAGTGTGCATCTATGTCCTTTAAGTTAGTTAACGACTTTTGGCAGGGTTTGGAGAACAGGTGATTCCATTACACTCGTGAAGCCAAGGACCCTTTCCACTGTGTGTGTGTAGCAGTCTTCAAAATAATACAAGCTTCTGCAACTTTGCGACAGCTATTTTTTCAGATTGTAGGGAAGGTACCTTGAAATAAAAGAAAGACAGTGAGTTCACTGCTTCTTTTCCCCCATACCATTATTGACTTTCTGCTTGCGTTTTATTTTCAGTGCTAGGGTTTTCTCCCTGGGCTGCTATCATTCAGGTAGATTTTTGTCTGAGCTGGATAATGTAAAGATTTAAAATTCATGGGGAGTGTGTGTTGCCTAATTGTTATAACTGATGAATCTCCGAACAGTTCCAAAAATATATGGATGCCAGGAGTCCAGATAATTTAAGAATCCATCATTCCTGCAAAATCCATCTAACTAAGGGAAAGTCTATACTAGAAACTCTTGTCAGCATAGGTATATTGGCAAGGGGGGTGATTTTGTTTTGAAATTACATTGCTGTGCCAGATGTGGTTGCAGATCTAAAGGCAAAAAAGTTCTTTTGGCAGGGTAGCTTATTTTGTTTGCAGAACCAGTATGAGCTGTCCTGGCAAAAGCAGCCTTTTGCAGTATAGCTGTGTATACCCAAGGTGGGTTTACTGGTATAGCTATACTGGGAAAACTTCTGTAATGTAGATTAGATGTTTGTATGGCCCCTCCCATAGTCATTTACAAAAGGGGGTCTTAACCTTTTTCCTTCTGTTTGGCAGACCCCCTGTAGCCTGCTTGGGGCGCCCCCAGCGGGCCCCAGACCCTTTCTTGAGAACCACTGATTTATAACATTCAGTGTTGTTTACTATTTCTTTGTGGTAGCACTGATGATGTGTTAAGTGCTTACCTGAGATTCACGAGGGCACTTCCACAGAGATTTTTTTTCAGTTACCGTGCTTTACAGAGGTCTAATTAATCCTTGCCTCATCCAGTGAGGTACCTTCCATTTTACAAAGAGAAACTGAGGCATCAGACTGACTGGTCAGAGCAAGGACTGGAACTTGCTCAGTCCCATAATAAAACCACTAGACTAATCCTCTCTAATATGAAAATTGAATCCCCTCCTCTTTGAAATTCCATTGGAAGGGGGGTTAAATGGAGAATAGCTTACATATGTTATCAAGTAGCCTTTTTCTCTGCTTTCATGTAGATCTGATTTCCCCCTACATTTGTCCAAAACAGTGCCTTGGAAATTCAGTAAAACTTTCACACACACCAAAAGGAAAAACTTCAGTTAATTTCCCCTAACACAAATTTCCCATGCCCCTTTCTGAACTAATTCACTTTTATAATAATCACTAATGGGAAACTGTCATTTTGCTTCTGTTAAAGCAAAGAGCGCCACCTAGCTGTGAAATGCTGCTAAGATGTGGACAGTGAGCATCTTTAAAGGTAAACTTTAAACTGTTCCTCTCCCACAACTATGCACTTTAACTTCTAGCAGACTCCTAGTACCACTCAGTTATAGTCTTACGGGGACTATACTGTCATACAATGGCCACTTGCTTTGGAAATTTAGGACAAATATCAGATCATTAACGTTGCCACAGCCATGACTTGGTTTGTGGCATCAATCAGATAATTTTATAGGCACTAGATATTTGCTAGCTGATCCAAAAATGTTAATTCCTGTAACAGGGGCAATCAGCACTTGTCATGCTGTTACTCCGATTATGGATACATCAATACATGCAACATCATCCCCGCTTTCTTAGAGTCTGCCAATACAGAGATTCGCTCCTTCCAAGTTTGCTTTTAACATAGGCTAATGCCACCTTGCTATAGAATCAAGTTTGAGTGCAAATCATTATCTAAGAACTGATATGCCCCAACCTCTTGGTTTACAAAAAATGGATCAAACATTTTATCTATTTTTACCTTTAGTTCGGCATGGCTGCAACATCTGAGTTAACGTAATCTGGATAATCATCTGGGCTTTCTAAATGTACAGAGTTGTTATTGGGAATTGAAAGCATTGATCAATAAATGCATTGATTTACAGACATCTTTATACACCCTGCCAACCTCTTTAAGCCTTGATGTTGATATCAGCTTGTGTGTTCCTTACCAGCCATTTTTCTGTACGTGCCAAGAAATACCAGATTCCTGCATCAAGGCTCCTTGCAAAATCTTCAAGACTGTACGTAACAACAGTTTGCAAGTGTTCCTTCAGTAGATTTTTAGAATAGATCATAACAGATCCACAGAGACATTACAATCTACTGGATTTATAAACAGGGCACACACACAAAAACAAGAAACGGTTTGCTTAGAGCATCCCCAAATCAGATACGAGAAGTTCCTAAATACACTCAACAGCGCATATCACAACCAAAGCTATCCCTATGTGCTCATGGGAAGCTACATATCCAATTGAACCTCTGTTTTAAAAAATTAACCTAACCAAGGCTTTTATGCTGACATAATTACTGCTGGCCCATCAGGGAGCTTCATAGTCCAGGGACATAAGATACAAAGATACTGTTGCTTGTTCGTTTCCTGGTCTTAGGGCTCCAAAAGCAAGGCAGAGTTTGCAGCATGGAGAGTTAAAAACTGAGAAGGTTTGAAATAAGAGAAGAGACAGTCTTCTGTAAGGGCCTGCTGGGGGATCTCAGTCAAATTTTAGGCCTTCCAACTCTGTCTGTGCTCCCTTAAATATCAGAAAGGCAAGAGTCACATAAAGATTCCAAGCTAGTACTCAAAATCATTGCTAAGATATGCAACAATGTGCAATTACTTTTTAAAATGTTTCTATTATCATGACTGTACAGGAAAAGTACAAGGAAAATCTCTCGAGGCAGGGGTCATGTCTTCATCTGCAGCTCGCAGAATGGGACCCCATTGAGGTGCTACCGTAAAAATATTAAACAACAATAGTTTCAGAACATACCTGACATATTTGATTGTTGCCATATCTTTATAGATGCACTATTCTCATAGTCCTCCACATCATCTGTGAGCAAGAAAAGTGTGCACAGAGCAATGAAAGCAAGTGGACTAAGAATGTGGAACCGTTCTTTGAAATGTCTCACTTCCACCCTCTAAAAATGTAACCATTTGGACAAGGCTGAGTTCCCAGTCACACCTGTGGGCTTGTGCATTTTAATGTGGAGCAACTCCACTCCCATGTCTGGTCATCACCATCTCATCTACTTCCCAGTGTAGCGCGTGATTTGTTTTGTTTTTCTTCCCAGGCATGGGTTAGACCTGCCTGTTGATGCTACTGCTGCCCATTATACCCAATGTAATCACAAAGTTAATTGTGATCAGATTCTGAGGTGTTATCAACACTGCATATAATATCAAAAGCCAAAATTAATCCACAATTCTGAAAAAATATCCCAGAGATAAATGTTCTCAGAAGTTCATAATCTCTAAGCAGAATTCCCCCTCTTCTTCACTGAAACCAAAGCTACAATGAACTCTGTGCAGAGCCCCAATGACTTCAGCTGGATTCCATGTGGGGACCTACCTATATGGAGCTCATTTCACAATAAAGGTCTATGTGAGTAAAGCTTTTAAAGCTTTACTTTAAGCGAAGTGATCGGGGGCCCTGCTCCGTGACTGGGGCTTCTCAGCACCACTGCAATACACACAGTAATCATCCCCCGAAAGCGGACACTTACCAGACTCAGTGCTATTGGATGCCCCGATCACAACATTTTGATAGGAACAGGAATCCTCTTCCTTTTCTGTAAGAGATAAAAAGGAAGGACTTAATGTGTTGGATGATGGTGAGAGCTCTCCGCGCATGGCTCTGTGTACAACACTAAGTTTCAGCACCATCCACCAGTGGAGAAGTGGTGTTTACCACAAAGAAACAAATGCACTACTTAAGGAAGTTAGCAGAAAGGTCACTGTAAAAGACTGTGCTGGAACTGGAGTTTGTGAGGCATATTCACTTTTAGTATAATCCTTTTACCATGTTAACATGGGATCAGATCCTGCATTGAAATCAATTGGAGTTTTGCCGCTGGCCTCAAGGAGAGCAAGACTGGGTGTTCATGACAGAGTTTAGAGAGGCTGGGAGCATCTGCTGGATGATAATAGAGCAGGGGTGGGCAAACTATGGCCCGGGGGGGCCGCATCCAGCCCTCCAGATATTTTAATCTGGCCCTCAAGTGCTTGCTGGGGAGTGGGGTCTGGGGCTTGCCCTGCTCCACGTGGCTTCCAGAAGCAATGGCATATCTCCCCTCTGGCTCCTACTTGTAGGGGCTGCCAGGGGGCTCTGCACACTGCCCTCACCCTAAGCACTGCCCCTGCAGCTCCCATTGACCGGGAACCGCGGCCAATGGGAGTTGCAGGGGCGGCACCAGCGGACAGGGCAGTGCGCAGAGCCGCCTGGCTGCGCCTCCGTGTAGGAGCCTGAGGGAGGACATGCCACTGCTTCTGGGAGCTGCTTGAGGTAAGCACCCCTGACCCCCTCCTGCACCGCAACCCCCTTCCCCAGCCCCAATCCCCCTCCAGCCCTCTGAACCCCTCGGTCCCAGCCCAGAGCACCCTCCTGCACCCTCAACCTCTCTAGTGCATGCAGTTATAGCAGTATAACAGTGCCTTACACTGACATAGTATATTTCCCTTCCTGTACGGGAAATTAGCTAGCCCAGTATAAGCCCTTTTAAACTGTATCCACACTAGGAAGTTGTATTGCTTTAACTATATGAGTATAGTAAAGTTGTCTGAGTTGTATGTAAACATGCCAGTTGGCAGCCCTTGAAACCAATGTTACCTACTGAGCCCACAAGGCAGCTGGGCAGTTGAGAAACCTGCATCTGCTGTGCACTGCTCCACCTAACCAGATAGAGACCATTTCTGGGGTGAAAGGATTCTTCATTTTCCATGGCCAAATCACTCCTTGGCCTCTTTGCTGAGACTGATAACAAAGGATGGTTTTCTTGGGACAAGGACAGAGATTCAGTGAATTGGATGGAAACGCTCGCCAACGAACCATGAGAGAATAAGTTTCCGTCATTACCGCCTACTCTGAAACTGCTCTCTCAAAAAAGTAATGGTGATGGGAGCTGTCTGTGTTTACTGTCGGTCAGTGGCTTCCAGATCAAATGGGCACCGATTGCTGGTTTTAAAGGACGTTTTTCTAACTACCACTGTCTATTTTCAGACTAGCACCACAGCTGAGAGAGACTATTGGCTGAGAGAAAGGCTCAAGTACAGGCATTAAATAATATTTATAATTAGAATCTGTTTAAAAACCAACCATGATGTACATGGGCAGTTAAACCACACGAGCAACTGCCTGCAGTTTACTATCTGAAATGTACATCCACAGATGCAGAAAATGTAACAGTTGATGTGGTCACCACATCAAAGTTAGGAAGATTCTGCAGCTATTCATTCTTGCAAATAGACATGCCAATCACTTTCCATCTTGCTTTAACCCCTCCTATGGCACAAAATGGAATATCCCTCCCCAAATAGTTACTTTTTACCACACACATAAAAAAACCATGCCAGGAATATGTTTCTTTTTCTTTTTTTTCCCCACAAAAATAAGACCATCTTTGAATGGAAAACAGACAAAGTTTTGAAATTTCTTTCGGACAAAAAAATGGATTATCCAAAAATGGTGTCAGAATCAGATAAAATTTCAGATAAGTTTTGCACACTTTGGGATATCAAAATGGCCATTTCACAGAATTTCACACATGCAGCATCTGCACTGCGTTTTTTGAGAGTCTCCTCCTGCCCATAATTTTCACACAGTCCTCAAACACTAGTTTTATAAAATAGAAAAACAAAATAATTACAGACATTGCTCGGATTGCAAGTTTTTGGGACAAAGACTGCCATTTAGTATGCATATGTATGGCACCAGGCACAATGGGGTCCTGATCTCCATGAAGTCCTGTGGTAACTACCACAAGATAAAAGAATAATAATTAAACAAATAAGTCAGATACGTTTTTTTAAAGGTCTTTACACCACATCCACCTTCTGGTGACAGACTACTTAAATTAGTTAACCTCTTTTTTGTACTTTTAAGAACAGTGTATTAAACACCTCTTTCTGTTACAACTTACTTAACTCTAAGTGTATTACAGGATTTAGTTTTGCAGAAGCAATTTGGGACAGAGTTTTCATGAAAGACCCTAGACAAAATAGGACCCTAATTATGATGATTATTAATTATTGTTTTTATTATGGTATTGCCTAGGGGTCAGGGCTTCATTGTTCACGGCACCGTACAAACATATAACAAAGAGACAACCTCTGCCCTGAAGAACTTTCAATTCTGCAATGGGTTTAGCTGCGCCTGCATAGAGCCCCGTTAAAGTCTATGTCTTTCTAAACATAGCTTCCAGACTTGCTACCTCATCTGTTCTGTATTTAACACTGATTAGTGTTCCTAACAGTAGAGATCTGGGGCACCGTCCTGCATCCCTCACTTACAAGAGCAGGCCCACTTACTGCAGTGGGCCCGCTTGTGAGGATGAGAGCTGCAGGATCAGCCCCAAGGTCCAGGACCTGCAAGCATTTACTCTCGGGAGTAGCTTGAGACACTTCAGGTAGCCAAACGGGATTACTCCCTCCCAGTGCATCCAGGGAAGCACATCGATAAGCGTGTGTGGCATCAGGGCCTAGGTGGATGCACCTTTCAAGTTATGAGAACACAGAATATCATATGGTTTGAAAAACAAAGTGACCATTGGAGATTTAAGACCTGTGGCACTTTGTATTCTCTTCCCCGGGACAGCCAGCTGCCTCAGAGAATTCCCCTGTGAATGTTAAACCTCAGGGAATTCCCCTGTGAATGTAAGGTGCTTGGTATAGGACAGCAGTGCCCAAATCACTTTCCTGACTTGCTTGGGCTTGGGGCTGATTTTGTTTGCACCACCTACTGTACGCCACTGAGACAAGCACTTGATGGTGCTGCTGTTAGGCAGGGATAGCATCACCTTTGAACATTCAGGGCTTTGGCTCTGGACTACCTGCGGCTTCAGGCAATGCTCTGCCACTGGCCTGAAGCCAACCAGGGCTTAATGAAAATAAACCAGCTGATTTGCACTGAAGGATGGCACCTGACCATAGCCCTGAAGCGTGTCACAGCTTTTCAGTGGTTTTGCCGCTCTGTAGAACACTCCTTTGTATTCCCCGTCCTGCTACAATAACTTTTAACCCCTTGCTGCCCATGAGCCATATGTCTGTTCCTTAACTAAAATTGTGTCAAACCATACTGTAACAAAGGAGAAAGATAAAAGAAGAAAATTGTCTGTTTCCAGCTCATTCTAAACCCACACTATAACCTCGCTGGCTGGAAATACTTCACTGGTTTTATCGTCCATAATAGGATTGAATAAACAGTCATTCGTCTGTCTTGTGAACATACCATTTGGTGGTCTCAAGAACATCCCACAGTTGTAGTAATCTGTAGCTATAGGGTTGCTGGAAAAGATAAAACATCTCAGTCTTAGATATTTTCTGCCTTTGAGATGGCACTTGGGGCAAAATCCCACTCACCTTACTCATGCGTGGGACCCCAATTTCCCAGCCACCCCATGACCCCAAATCAATCAGAAAGAGCCATAGAGCCTTCTCTTCCCAGAAACTTAAATTTTCCTTAAAGTTGCCATAACTATCAGAAGCTGCCTCATCTCCTGGGCAATACACGTCTAACTGAGTAAACCAAATACAAAACTTCCAGAGAGGCAGCCCAAAGCTACTTCTTTTAAATGACATTTCTGTGACCCACATCAATACCGCTGTCCATTTCTGTGATTAATCTAATAGGTAGATTCTACAGTAGTAGGTCCATGTGAAGGTGAAGTATTTGGTTTTCTGTATCTTGGTTGCATCTGGCACGGGTATGTTTCTTGTAAGTGATTGGCTCCTTGTCCAATATCATTCTTGAAACAAGCCAATTGTATTCTTCATGGTTCTAATACTACACAGACTACAAGATATGTAGTTTCACATTCAGGTGTGAGCTGCACTAAAGGCTAATATGATACAATGGAAGTCATATTCAATACGAGTTAGGTACAACTGCAGAACTTGGACATGGAACGCCTTCTCTGTGCTTGTATCCTGCTTAGCACCTGGCTTCCCATAGGTTATTCATGACAAATTCAGAAGCACTTAGGACAGATTTTTCATTCCCATCCTGAGATCTTGCATATTCTTCTGAGAGTAACCGCAATAGCAAGTTACTATTCACAGCAGAAACAATGGCTCGCAGTACTGTGGCCCACTGCAAGGTCTTAGAGAGAGTGTGAAATTAACAGAGCTATGCATAATCTGAATAATGAAACCACAGGAATGTCATGATCTTCAAAGCTCTGCTTCAGAACCCAAATCTTTGGAATTTAATTTCCTCTTTAAGAAGATGAACTAAACCCACTGTAACATCCTACAATTCAAAGCTACCATTAGCAAGGGAGACTAAAGAGATTAGATTCAATGTCCTGGTGGATGAGAGAAAGATTGACTTACACATAGGCAGCATCCAGTTCCTGGTTGTCTTCTGCAAGTACAAATCATTTGCCATTAGCACAGTCTCAGGGACATTTCTCACAGTGCAAAATCAAAATAAAACCACAAAACTGATCCAGAAAAAGTCTATGCACTTAGAAACACACAGGGCCAGGTTAGATTCTCCAGGAACATCTGTAGGCGATTGCTTCCCTTCAGACAAGTATTCCAGCTCTTTCCTTTCTCACTCAGTTTTTTACTGGATCTGTGTATCTCTTGTCTCTGAAAAATTAACACTTCTCCCCCCCCACAATGTACTGTTGCACATTCTGCACCAGTCTCACCTTCCTGTTCTCTTGTCTTGGTGTTCCTCATCTACTCCCCACACCCCATTCTGCAACACCTTCTCCTCTGCACGCCCCACCCTGCTGCTTTCTAATGCACTGCCCAGAATCTTCAAAGTGAACTAACCAAAGGGCATCACTCGCAAGCTTGCCACTCAGACACCTCAAGAGAAGCATCTGAGCAGGCTCAAAATCTTGAGCAAGCCACATCCAGCCTCACATCCTTGAACTAAGCATGCACTCAATGCAAGTTTTGCCATTGACTTCCATGGGAGCAGGACTGGACCCTATGGGTATATCTACGTGGCAATAAAACACCCGCAGCTGATCCTCGTCAGCTGCCGTGGGCTTGTGGGGCTCAGGGTGCAGGGCTGTAAAACTGAAGTGTAGAAGCTTGGGCTGGAGCCTGGGCTCTAAGACCTCACAAGCAGGGAGGGTCCCAGCCCAAGCCTGAACATCTACATAACAATTTGATAGCTCCACATCCCACATCCGAGGCCGCTGATGTGGGCCAGCCGTGGGAGTTTTATTCAGTGTAGATGTACTGTAAGAGCCCAGGGAAAGAGAATTTAAGGGGCTTTGTTTTAGGTAAAGAGTAATTTAGCATATAGTCTAGGTTATCCTAAAGCAGTGATTCTCAACCAGTGGTACGTGTACCCCTGGGGGTATGCAGAGGTGCTCAAGGGGGTACCTCAACTCATCTAGAAATTTGCCTAGTTTTACAACAGGCTTCATAAAAAGCATTAGCGAAGTCAGTACAAACTACAATTTCATACAGACCATGACTTGTTTGTACTGCTCTATGTAGTATACACTGAAAATGTAAGTTCAATATTTACATTCCAATTGGTTTATTTTATAATTATATGGTAAAAAGGGGAAAGACAGCAAGTTTTCAGTAATAGCGTGCTGTGACACTTCTGTATTTTTATGTCTGATTTTGTAAGCAAGTAGTTTTTAAGCGAGGTGAAACTTGGGGTACACAAGACAAATCAAACTCCAGAAAGGGGTACAGTAGCCTGGAAAGGCTGAGAGCCACTGTCCTCAAGGACTATGAGGCCTGGTCAAGTGGCATAAATAGTTAAACAAAAGGATTCGATGAGCTCCTCTATAAAAAACATACTGAGCAATGGCATCGTTTGGGCTTCAACATAATCATCGGTGGCCTTTGTGATGGTTGCCTCACCCTATCATTGCACAGTGGGCTAGTGCCCCGATCAACCCTATCTTCCTCCAAAGATAAAGTGTCCGTTATAGAGCTGTGCTGCTGGAGACCTCAAGACCGGAATAATTACTATATTCCTATGCATTAAAGAATAAAATACTAACGAAGGGAATTCGGACAGCAGGAAATGCCTTCTTCCTGCTACCGCTATTATTAATTATTATTATTATTATTAATTATTTGTATTACGGTACCATCCAGAGGCCCCATCTGAGATTAGAAACTTGTTGTGCTATGGATGCTACGAAGAGACAGTCCCTGCCGCTCTTACAATCTAAATAGACAGGAGAGGAGAAAGGCAACATTCTGACCTCCATTTTACAGCTGGGGAACATCTTTTAGCCTAGAAATATCCTGACACATCTGAATACAGGCAGGGTGTGATTAGCAACTCCAGGGGAAGCCAGCCCATATACTAACAGATTCTCCACTCAGAGAAGGGACAGGAACAGAAATGTGATGTTGCTTCCAAAGGCTGGTGACCTTCCATCTAATCTAGGTTTAGAAAGCAGAAACACCCACATACAGTAAAGCAGGGATCACAGCTTTTCATTTTCCCACTGTTATTTTAAACAGAGGAGTAGATCCAGTCCTAGCATAAGTGGGCGCAAGGTCTATTGACTTCAATGGGAGTTACTTATACGAAGGCTGAATTGTTCTCAGCCTAACTGAATTTCACTGCAGTTGTAATGTTTACCTCTCCTGAAATTTTGGTATCTGGGCTCTGCACTGTCACCTAGAAGAAAGCACATGTTGACATTGTACGTTAGCCGTGATATGCTAGCTAGCAATTACAGGGGCTATGAAATCAGATTCGGAGGCGATCAAGCCACGAGATGTGAAATAGAGCTCAGTATAAAAAGAAAGGAGAAATGATGAATTGTGGAACATGGGACCAAGCTGGGGAAATGCTCGAACAGGAAGAGCCATCTAGGTCACTAATTAGGAAATAGATTTGGGAGTGAGAGAGGAAGAATCACCAACATCATCAGCTCAGTGCAACACTGTAGGAAAAACAGAAACATGAGGTAGCAAGCTACAGTAGCAGAGACTAGAATTGAAAACAAACGTGGCAATACGACTGCTTCTCTCTAAGACCCTTGCTAAACTCTACCCCGGGCAGAGCGGGTAGCGCTGTGGTTAGAGCATTGGTCTGAGACAGAGTACAGCTCGTTTCAATTCTCAGCTCCGCCACAGACTTCCTCTGTGAGCTTGGGGGAGTCACTTAATCTCAGTGTCCCAGTTCCCCGTCCGTAAAGTGAGGGTAACAACAGACCGACAGACTTCAATAGGGGGTCTGGGGATACATTCATTCAATATTTGTGAGATCCTCACATACTACCTAGAAAGGGGCTCGAAAACTTGGACAGAACACTTAAGGACTCTGTCTCCATGGCCGGCAAGGTGCTTCTGGGAACAGCTGTACGGGGGACCAAAGATGTGAAAACTCCCTCCCCTCTGGTATTTCAGCAGATCAAACCAGGGTGTGGTGCGAGACACACATTTTAGGGAAAGCTGTGGTCCACCCGAGTTATCTATTATTATTAATTATTATTATTACTGGGATGTTTAAGCTGTTGGAAGGGCTCCGCATTTGCAATCAGCAAGATCTTTCCCCCAAAGGAACAGGGTTTGTAGCAAGGGACGGGAGGATAATAAATGAATATAAGCAGAAAGTCAACAGGAAAAACTTCCTGATTGCAGTTTAACCCAGTCCTAGGGCCATTGGATGAGAAGCCTGATCTTCAAAAGGGCATTTTTTCCACCACATTCTCACAAGTAGCCACTCCTATAGCCCTTGGCTAAGCAAGAGGAGGGGGTAAAGCTGAGCTGGTGTTACTCCTTGCTCACCAATGACTAGGTAGAATACTGTCTCACAGCAGCACAGGGATGGCAGCTGTTTGTATGGAATATTGTGGGGAAGAGGGATTTCACTTAATACCACATTTAGGGCCTGATTCCCAGAAGCGTTGAGCACCAAAACTTCAGTTGAAATTACTGGGAGATGCAGGTGCTCCGCTTCTCTGAAAATCCAGGTCAGCTGCCCACATGCTACAGCAACGGGCACTCAGAAAATTAAGCTGGAATACTGTGTACAGAGCTGGCTACTGCACCCCAGCAAGACAGCCATTGCTTAGGGGAGGGTGCAGCGTAGGGCAACAGAGATCAGGTCTGAAGAATCTGCAAAGTTGTGGAAAGACTTAGGAGCTTGGTCTCAAAGGAAAAGAGAAGAGGAGAACTAAAAATAGAGTTTTCAAAGGGACTAAGAAAGGTGCTAGACAGAAATAGTCACATAGGTAAAGGGTTTAAACAGGGAAAATATGGATAGAGAATGTAGGCAACATTCCATCATGCAGAGAGTAACAAGTTACATAGGGTGTCATGAAGATTCGTTGTGTTTGTTTGTATAGTTCTACAAATGTTTGTGCATTAGGGTATTATTATAGGAGTAGGTTGTAGCGTTAGCTAACTTACTTCCAAGGTAACACCTGTCCCCATAATGCACCATTCAGAATTCAAAATGGATGACCATAAATGGGAACGGAACATCCTCTCCTGGACTTAGCTTCCGTGAACATTGTAGGCATATACAGGAGTCAGGGATCTTTTACCATATATGTTTCATTTGCCAATATAAACAGGCAAAGATTTGTAATATTCCCACACACTAATTTCATATTGGAGTAACAACCCACCCAGGGCAGATGACAAAAGGTGTAAAGAAATGGATACTTTTGTATAAATACCTACCATCAATGCGTGAGGCCTGCAGTCGCTCACTGGTTTTCCTGAAAGAGATAAATTTATTAATTTAACAGATTCCTGCAAATGCTATTTCTCCCGCTGTGTAGGTCTATACCTGGGATACAAGCCATTCACACTGGAAGGTAGCTAAAATCCCAGTTCTATACACACTATATTAAATATTGGATATTACAGTGGTCCCCAACCAATGGGCTGAACAATCCCCACACTCCACGGAGCTTTTCCTGGTGGTGCTGTGCAACAGGAGACATTTTGAGGACTAAGAACTGGCGTATTTGGAATGGGATGTGGATAAACAAATATACACTCGAGCCACAATATTTCTCCCATATATTATCCATATCCGTTTGCTAGGGCTTCACAATATCAAAACAGTTAAAATCAAGGACCTCCTGCACTACTTGCCTTTCATCTGCAATGACAGTTCATTTCTGTGGCTTGATTTTAAGGATTCATGCTAGTGGATGCTATAAAAGCAGTTGGAACGCAGATATCAAGAAGATTTAGAACATTATGGAAGGATAAGCAGTAAATTAAATATAAGCCAAGCCAGGGAGTTCAGATCCAAATCCTCAATTTTCTCAAAGTTTGGGGGGACCCAGTGGCCCAAATTTTGGCTGAAATATCTTATTTTGTCACCTACCTTGTTACTGGGATGTTGTCTGGCAATTTAATTTGCTCTTGCCTTGTCACTGCAACTGGCATGGGAAATAAAATCAGTTGTTGAAGGTTATGGCAGCAGGAGACACGTTTTCAAACTGAGCACAGAGCAGTCAAATGCAAACGATTGCCAAGTATTTGCAGACTACGAAATCCAGAACTTTTTCAATTACCTACTTAAAAAGCATAGGATGGGCCAAGGAAGGAAATGACTATAGAAACCTGTTGTATCTACAAGCAACAGGAACAGGCCACTACAAACAAGTACATGTTAGATAAAGCTCCAGTCTTAATAGTTATGCTGGTCCCTTTTCCCCCTGTAAGTTATCTGACATTTTCTCCAAATTTGCATGAGTTTCCATCCCTAAGCTGCTAGCAGTTCATTTTTATAGACTTCCACTCTGAAAACTATCGCTATGGGTTCTCCCAGATGCTCCAACAGCAACTTCTCCTGAGGTTTGATTGCATCTGTCATTGTCCTAGATCTTGTTAAAATAAAGATTTCTTCAATTGTTTGGCCCATTGCTGCTTAATAATCCTCACTCTCCTCCAGGGCTGGAGGGCTGCAGAAAGGCAAAGTATTATTAAATGTAAGTTGCTACAGCCCACTTTTGTTCATTTTTAAATTAATTTCTCTCCACGCCATAAAAACCTCTTCCCAGTTCTACCTATCTATATTAGGGACTTCTCTGGCCCCCCTCACTGTAGTAGTCAAGTGAGGCTGGAAATTGCTATTATCCCCACATATTACAGATGGGGAAACTGAGGCATATAAATACTAAGTGACTTGCCCTAGCTCATAGGGAATTTGTGGCAGAGAAGGGAACTGAATCCAGGTCTCCAAATCCCAGGCAGGTACCATAACCACTGAACTATCCTTTCTCTCTATGCTGGTTTAATCCTTCTGTGGCTGGGAACACATTCTATTGTACAACAGAAACAGCACTCTTTGGACCGATGGATCATCGGAGGCAGAATATCCACAGCTCCGATTACTGGAGCTTTCCACTGCATTTGTTGCTGTTGATCATGGTTTAGCATTGTCCCATTTTAAAGACACTGGAGGAGTCAAAGGACACCTGCTGCGATGACCCATATCCATTACTGTCAGGGAACAGCCTGGAAGGACTGTTGGACGACTGCTCTTCTGCCACCAGAGCACTCCCTCAGTTTTCCCCCATCCCAGACAGTCACAGCACCTCGCTGCTGGGGAAAACTGAGACATCAAGTCAAATCCCAGCAAGACATGGAGGACACCCAGATCTGTTTCATTTACATTCTGAGCTAGCAGCACCATCTTTCAGCTCTCAGAGGTCAGCACCTGGATGTAAAACAGCTGCTTGAGGCAGCAAGACAGAGGTATTGTAGGCAGAGAGAAGGAAATGCTTTGAAAATCCAGCTCCCACCATAGTGTCTCGCTCTGTGGCGGGAGCCTTGCTGCTCAGATCCTCATGTCACTTTGCAGCCTCAACACCCTTCTGGACTCCTCGTTGCTGCTAGATACTCTAACGACTACCACTGCAAAAGACGTTATCTTCCAGCTGCAGCTGGCCAGAAGACTGCACCACATCCTGTCCAACACGGACTTGGCCATGATGCTCTCTAGGCTGGATTACTCTAGTTCACGGTATCTAGCTTCGAAATGCAATTGGTTCAAAATGCGGCAGGCCCATCTCCTCAGCAGCACAATCCCATAGAGCTTTGCTTGTTTTAATAGCAGCCATTAGAACACCAGGCACATTCCAAGGTCTCAGTCCTATGCTCCATTGGATTGGCTCATGTTACCCAAGAAACTTTCCCCTCTCTCAGTGTGACAGCACTCTCCCGAGAGACCTGTGGTCCTCAGGCACTAGGAAGCAGCTTCAAGAGCCAGAAGACAGAGTTTTCTCAATAGTCAGCTCAAGACTGTGTAACTCCTTTGCACAAACCTTGCTCCTTTCAGAGCCAGGCATAATACCTCTTTCTTTCAGATTAGCTTTCCCAAAACCCAATCAGAAACAGCAGGGGAAGGGAGGTAGGAGCGGAAGATGATAATAAAGAGAAGAGGGGGAAATAATTAAAATTTTTTAAAAAAGAGACTAGAAAATGTAAAGAAAGACAAAGGAAGGAGAAAAAAGAAAGAAGGGGCAGCCGGAGAGGAAAGAAAAGATCAAAATGGAAGTCCCCTTGGGGTGACTCAAAGGAACAAGGGACCAAGTGATGGTGCCTTTCTTTGGTGCTGTGATATTACTGCACTCAGGATGGTAGGAGTACTTAGATAGACTACAGCGGGAAGCCAGTGCCTCAGCAAGCTTAACTTCCAACACCTTCTTTGTTTACGATGACCTTTAATACCTACCCAATCAGCAGCTCAGTTTAGGATGAAACCAAAAGTTCAGCTTGTAACCAAATGTGCCGCAGGAAGCAGTGACAGGGCAAGGATAAATGAGTCATTCGTATCAATTTGGGTTCAAGTGTTTCCCCTTCACTCTCTGTCATTTTCAGGGGCAGTTTAAGTTTCTGCTCAGAAGAGCAGGAACCCTGTAGCCTAAGCCAATATGTTGTTACATTTCACAATACAGATTCTATGTGGCACTAAATATTTAGGCTGGGATTTTAAAGGAACTTAGGGGAATTAGGTACCCAAATCCCAAGTGGGCACCTTAGTCTGCTTTGAAAATCTCAGCCTTCTGGTTCTGTCAGTTAGACCTTCCATGCTTTCCCAACTGTAATGCATTATTCTTTGAGACAGGAATTTAATTCTCTGCACTGCAGGACACGGTCATGAAAAAAAAGACACAAATTTGTATCCTTGCAAAAACTGCAGCCTGAAAAACTTTCTCAGTACTTACAAGAAGATTCTTCCAGATATCTATAGAGTTTTGTAAAAATGCATACTCACTTGAATGGGATCGTATCACCTCAAATCCCTGCTGGTTTTCATGCCTGAAAATACAGGGAAAGTTTTGGCCAATGCAATATGTCCTAAAGGGAAAGACATGCAATGCGGGGCGGGGGGGCATTGTTGATGTCACAAAGCATAACACCGGGGTCTCAAACATGTGGCCATTTCCTGCAGCCAGCCATAGACGCCGACTCCACTGGCAGCCAAGCTCCCCTCACCCCCCTGTCCCCCTGCCTCCCACCTCTGCCCCCCCCTCATGCGCGCCACGTCCCCACTCCTCCACCTACCTCCCAGAGCTTTCCACCACCAAACAGCTGTTTGGCGGCACTTAGGACTTTCCAGGAGGGAGGGGGGAGGAGCAGGGACATGGCACGCTCAGGGGAGGAGGCGGAGAAGAGGCAGGGCCGTGGCAGGGATTTTGGGAAGAGGTTGGAATAGAGGCAGGGAGGGGCAGAGTTGGGGTGGGGACTTTGGGGAAGGGGTTGGAATGGGGGCGGGGAAGGGGTGGGAAGAGGCGGGGCAGGGGCAGGGCCTCGTGGAAGGGGTGGAGTGGGGGCGAGGCCGGGGGTAGGAGAGGGCTTTTGTATCTTTGTATGAAAAAGTGTCAGTGATGCAGCCCTCGGGCCAATGTACTAGTCCTCATGTGGCCCTCGTGGTGATTTGAGTTTGAGAATCCTGCATAAGACTGTGGCAGAAGCCACTAAGGGTATGAAAGTGGAAGCTAAGGAAAGAGGAGGCTTATATTTCACAGCACATCAGCACGAAGGCTTTTGCAACTGAAATCCAAAGAAAGGGGCTTCCCTGATCACTTTAAATGTGAATATTTCTCTGAGGGGGGCAGACAAGTTGTTTGATTTACAGCTAGAGCTGGGCAAATAACTGACTCTATAGCCCAATGAACTGAAAAACCATTCTCACTCTCTCTCTGGCCCAGTGACTAGTCAAGTATTTTATACATAGTGGAACAGCTGCAACAGGAGAGACTGAGAAAGACCCGACCCAGAATACCCTATGGTCCAATGATAGGGCACTCCCCGGTGAGTGTCTTAGCCAAAGAATGATAGGTATTAGGGAGGCACCACCATCATCTTCGCCTCCTCCTCCTCCTCTCCTCTGGCTGTGTTATGAATGGAGCCTAAGTCCCAAACATATTTTTTGGCCAAAATTTTTGGTGACATCATGTCACATTCATGAACACTTTCGGGTCAACCAAAACTTCATTTTCAGCAAACAAACTAGGAGTCAAAAAAATTTCACCCAGCTCTATTTTCAGCCTCTTTATGGATCTGATCTTGTGACCTTTGACGTCAATGGGAGCATTGCCAATGACCCTTGAACACACAACAGGAGCTGGGGAGGGAACCCAAGGATGGGGGCAAAGCCAGGTGTGATGAAGAGATAATCCTGGTCCAGAAAACAATTATGATTTTGACTCTTTCCATCCCATCATGGAAGCATTTTGACATAAAGTACGTGCAGACTTGCAATAGAATTCAAAAGGTTCTAGACAGGTCCACAAAGCCCAGAAGGAAAGTTTAACCTCTCGCATACCTTGGGTCTATTCCAGGGGTGGGCAAACTTTTTGGCCCAAGGGCCACATCTGGGTATGGAAATTGTATGGCGGGCCATGAATGCTCATGAAATTGGGGGTTGGGGTGCAGGAGGGCTCTGGCTGGGGGTACGGACTGGTGTCTGTGGTGGGACTGGGCATAAGGGGTTCAGAGGGCAGGAGAGGGATCAGGGCTGGGGCAGGGGGTGGGGCACAGGAGAGGCTCAGGGGTGCAGGCTCTGGGCAGCGCTTACCTCAAGCAGCTCCTAGAAACAGCAGCATGTCCCCCCATCTGCTCCTATGCAGAGGTGCGGCCAGGCATCTCTGTGAGCTGCCCTGTCCGCAGGCACTGCTCCTGCAGCTCCCGTTGGCTGTGGTCCACAGCCAATGGGAGCTGCAGGGGCAGCGTGCGGAGGCCCCTGGCTGCTCCTAGACATGCCGCTGCTTCCAGGAGCCGTGTGGAGTGGGGCAAGACCCTGACCCTGCTCCCGGCTGGAGCACCAGAGCAGGACAAGCCCCAGACTCTACTTCCCGGCAAGAACTCGAGGGCTGGATTAAAATGCCTGGAGGGCTGGATGTGGCCCCTGGGCCGTAGTTTGCCCCCCCCGGTTTATTCGGTCTTTTCGGAAGACAAGCATCATGTTTTTCACTTTTTTTTTTTTAAATAAGGTAAAAGAGAGCTGTTGACCATGCATTTTGCTGTGGTAATATTTAAAAAAAGAAGGTGACATACCAAAGGGAAGGGAACACAGCAGAGTGGTAACACTAAAGATTATCTGTTACTGTGGGTACATACACTGGGGGAGGTTTTCAAAGCACTAATGGGATTTGAGCACTCAGCTCCCATTTACTTCCCCAGCCCAACCCAATGTCTTTGGGAGTGGGTTGGTCTCCTTCCTCTGAAGCATCAGGGCTGGTCACAGCTGGAGATGGGATGTTGGACAGGAAGGGACAGGACTCTGAGGTGGTGCCAAGCATCCTCTCAGGTGCTTGGCTGGCTGGTTCTTGCTCACATGTGCAGGATCTAGCTAAGGGGTCGGCAACCTTTCAGAAGTGGTGTGCCGAGTCTTCATTTATTTACTCTAATTTAAGGTTTCGCGTGCCAGTCTTACATTTTAACGTTTTTAGAAGGTCTCTTTCTATAAATGTATAATATATAACTAAACTATTGTTGTATGTAAAGTAAATAAGGTTTTAAAAATGTTTAAGAAGCTTCATTTAAAATTAAATTAAAATGCAGAGTCCCCCGGACCAGCGGCCAGCACCCGGGCAGTGTGAATGCCACTGAAAATCAGCTTGCATGCCGCCTTTGGCACGCGTACCATAAGTTGCCTACCCTTGGTCTAGCTGATGGCCCTACGTGGGGCTGGGAAGGATTTTCCCCCACATCAGATTGCCACTGACCTTGGGAGTTTTGACCTTCCTCGGCTGAGAATGGGTGGGGGTCACTTGCCAGGATAATCTGGGTATACCTCACTTAATCATTTCCCTGCCATCGTGGGGGCCTCAGGCACTGATGCCCCTCCTATTCTCCCCCGTGACACATAATGGTTAAGTCTCCTGTGGGCTGTAACACTTCAGTCTCATTTCAGTTGTTGGGTTTGGTGAGCGGATGCTAGCGGGTGTTAGACAGGAGCTCAGATTAGATGACATGATGGTCCCTTCTGGTCTTCAACTCTGACTTTCAATGGGCGCTGGGCACTCAACTCCCCTTTGTGCCTGCGAAAATCTCTCCCTCTTTCTTCCAGTAGCATAGCTATTAATCTAACACAGAATCTATTCATTCCGATCAGTCCTCTTCCTATAGCTGGCAGTTTGGCGGCTATCAGGGGTGCTTTCAATCAAAGTCCCTGTTTAGATTCCTTGTGACTGTGTGGGTGTGTCACGGGGGTTGCAAAAAAAGCAACAACCAAAAACCAGCTATAGAAATGGAATGTGAAATCTTGACCCCTCTCAAGTCAGTGGTTGTTTTGCTACTGACTTCACTGGACCAGGAATACATCCAGGCTCTTGGTTTAATTTCAGCAAGCCAGGACATCTCTCTAACCCCAGACAGGATTCAGAGGGATAGAGCCCTGCGGTTGCTCTTCCATCAATTGCCAAACATCACACCAAAAGCCTGTCACACTGTCATCTTGAAAATGAGCAGCAGGGTGGCAGCACACAATATGGCCCACCCTTGGGCCCTTCCAGAGCCCTCTGCAGCAGGTTAGCTATGCTGCCAAAGGCAGGAAGAGGTTAAAAGCCATGATTTTTCTTTTTTCTCTAATCTTCTTACTTGTGGTTTGTCTGTTATTGAAGGAAACAAGAGTGTGTGTGAGAGAACTCATGTTTCCTTATTTAGCTGACGTTGTAGGTTTGGTAATTCAATGCTAGCATATGATCTTATTAGCTAGCACATGTTATTGTTTAAATACCGGTTTTTGTACCTAATGAAGTTGTGAATCTACCTTAATCCTAGAATAGATCAATGTGGTGGCACCATTTTGCAGTGCACTAATTTGCTCCTCTACCCTTTCTCATCTAAAACTCTTATTAAAGCCAATCGGTACATCGTTCAGGCCCAAGCTCACAGCTTGTCGTTTAATTTCATGTTATTCTTTCTAAGGGCACTAGGCAGCTTTCCTGTGTCTCTGAGCCATTCTATGTTCTTGGCCACTATGGGATTGTGGACGATCATTATTGCTCCGAGGCAGCTATTTTTCACCTCCAGATTTCCTAACATGTCAGAACTGGGATGCATAGAGCTCCACAGAGCCCACACAGCAGCTAGGATCCATTTCCTCCCTACGAGGACCTCTTGGGAAAAAAATGTGAATGTGAAGGGTAACTTACAGTTTCCTCTGCTTGCACAGCTTCTTTTCCCGTTTAGTAGCTGGAAGAAGATCATCAAAATCAGTGACAGGAATTCAAGTGCCGAAAGAGGACAAGAAACTTAAGATGAGCTAACAGGAATTTAGACACAAAGAGGAAGTGGAGAACAGCAATTCTGAAAGGATTTCAACCAGTGCCTCCATCAAACCTGCAGCCAAGACCAGGAAAGAGTGCTGGACTAAAGCGGATGTCTCCTCGGCCAACTGAGAGATGTTTTAACAACATCTGGAGGATTGGAACCAGGATCAGTCAAATTAATCCCTGGTCCAACAGCATGGAACGCAGTTTAGCCCAGCCATGCAAGTCTGTGCCCCACAAGCCACTCAGTAGTAAGCCTTAGAGCATTACTGTCAGTGGCATTCTCCAAGGGTCTGCTCCTTTGTGATGCTGAGCAGCCTCCATTCCCCATGACTTGCATAAGAGGTGAGGGTACTCAGCATCTTGCAGCAGATGCTGAACACCTCACTTCTTAGGTACGCTGCTGGCCCTCATTACTGTAGGGTCTGAGCACCTCACAACCTTTCCTTTACTGTCCCCCCAACACTCCTGTAGATCGGGCAGTGCTATTATCCCCATTTCACAGATGGTGAACTGAGGCCTAGAGAGACTAAGGACCAGATTTTGAAAGTAACTTAGGCCCTCAGTGGAATTTTCAAAAGCACTTTGACACTGGCCCACCTGTTGATCATTTTAGATAAGCTATTACCAGCAGGACAGTGGGGTGGGAGGAGGTATTGTTTCATATTCTCTGTGTGTATATAAAGTCTGCTGCAGTTTCCACGGTAAACATCTGATGAAGTGAGCTGTAGCTCACGAAAGCTCATGCTCAAATAAATTGGTTAGTCTCTAAGGTGCCACAAGTACTCCTTTTCTTTTAACTCCCCTTGAAACCAATGGGAGTTAGGTGCTTTTGAAAATCCCACTAGGCACCTCTCTGCATCTTTAAGCACGTAAATAATGTTAACAATCCGTCCTTAAGTGCCATGCCCAAGGTCACACAGGAAGCCTGTGCAACAGCAGGAAATCAAACCCTAGGCTATCTCCCTGACCAGCAGACCATCCTTCCTCTCTCAGGATCAGCCGTAAGCTGGGCAAGGGCCACTTCTCCAAGTTTAGTACCACTGCTGCTTTGGGGTTCTCGCTCGCTCGCTCTCTCTCTCGAGAGAGAGAGCATGGGGTCAAACTCATCCTTTGTACAAATCCAGTGAACTGAGTGGAATTCCACGAAGGAGGTATTTGACCCATGGTTTCCTTTAAGGAGTCATTTCATCTCATCTCATCTCTGACAACAGGTAGGTATACAAGCTCTGACCTTCAGGTGGGAGGTGAGGGTCACCATATCCCATTGTCCTAAATGATCACAATGGCCAGACAGGTGGCTGCCAGTAGCAGAAGAAAGATCAGTAATGCCCAACTTTGCTTTGAAACCACTGGCACCATGCTTAGCATGGAGGACCTCCTGTCAACGACCTTTTGGAATGACTCCCTGGGCCAAATCAGTGCAACTTCATTAAACTGCTGCAAAACCCACCCAAAGCACTGCCAAAACCCACCCATGATTACCCTGTAGCAGGAGCCCACTCTGGCACTAAGCAGTGTGGCTAGTTAATTACCCACATCTCTGAGTCAAACCAGCCTGGGGAGATCCTTTATGGCTCCGCACCACCGCAAGACAATGGATGAAACGCATCCATTGACTCGGAGATAGATTTGCCCCATTGCACACAGGTGCTGAACTGAGAGAGGAAGCGGCAGAACAGAGATTCAGGTGGGAGATGTGATACTGAATGCGAGGGCTCTGGGCCAGGTCGAAGATGCGTGGTATCTCCCAACATTAGAAGGCCGATGATGAATGAATCACAGAGTTGTAAAGGTCAAACATGGCAAAGCTCTACTAGGTCATCGAGTCCACAGCCCCTGCCAGAGGGAGAGTTGGCTAGGAAGGGAAAGTTTTAATCTCAGTGTAAACTGTACTGCTGAGCTCATCCCCACTGACCAACCACCACCAACGAAATGCCAGCCAGTCAGTGCTCTGCCTGATGTGGATCCTTTGCTGGAGGAGAACAGAGACAGAGTCAGGTCCAGCAGCCTGGCTGCTTGTGACTATTGGGCCGTACTGCTGCTGTGGTTGCATTCGTTTGCATAATGCCCACTCAGCGGCAGAGCAGGGCAAGTATGCTTTGCAAGGCTCCCTTGATTTACTGCAGGACTGTGAGCCTGTCATCGGGGGTCCCATGCACACACAGAACATCTCAATTTCAAAATAAGACTTCTTGAGCGTCTTGCTTTCCTAGTGAACAGCCACAGCCAAGTGCTTTTGGATTTCTCCCCCATCCCCAAGGCTATGAAGCTTTTCCTTCTACATCCTGCAGTCAGCTGCACTGACTGGGGTGGAGAAAGAACCCCAGGGCCCTCCTGCTGTGTCTCTCCCTGTGTAAGAAGCCAGGGATTACAAACTTCTGATCAATGGTTCCTTGCCTCCATTCCCACTGGCCCCTAGACAGCACAACTCCTGAAGGGGCTGTGCTACCAGGGACTACCCCTAGAACCACCCCTGAAAGCTTCCACAGCATGGATGAGTAAAAGTCGCAAGCCCTCATGCAGGCTGTATTAACTTTCCCTGGTTATGTATGGCAGGGGTTAGAATCTGGAGGGGTCCAGGCAGATCCCCACCATCCGTCTTCCTCCCTACCCCATTCCAGCTTTACAGAGCCCTAGCTCTGTGCAGGGGATTGCACTAGGTGAAGGGGAAAGAAGGGTGCAAGCCGCACAGGTAGGAACCGCCTGCGAGCACCAGCTTCCCGCCACCCCCCATTTCAGTAACAGGAGTTGCATGCGAAAAGCAATACTCGCTATGCACACGGTGGGGTCGGGGCAAGTGACTCCCTGAAGGACTTTGTGTATCAGAGGAGAATGGGCAGCAGGAGCTCACGCTGCACCGAGTGCGGGTGGCAGACAGGTAACGCCTAGATCTAGCCTTCCCGCACATGCCCAGAAGAGAAACGCGGGCTCAGGCACCTGTTTTGGGACATCAGGCTCAGCTTGACTTGGGGGGGTCATCTCTGCAATACTGAATGGCAGCAAAACCTTCATGCTCAGGCAAGCCACCCGTGACAGTTAACTCCTGAGTAGGAGAGCAGGCACCATGCCCAGCCCACACTAGGACTGCAGAGAGATATGTAGCTGTCTGGCATAGGCAAGCAGACTGAGCAATGCAGGATTTCCTCATGCTGAAGGTGCCCCAAATTCAAGGCTGTGGGAGAAAGTCCTACCAGAATGCTGACACTTCATGCACATGCTCACAAGAGCCCCCAGCAGCATCAGTGAGGCCGCAGCCCAGAGCAGCTCCACTGGGCTCATTGCTCCGCTGAGGTCCAGCCTGAAACACATGCAGCAGAAGAGAAAAACATTAACTGAACTGTCAGCGCGTTACAGCTGTGTCAGCCACATGCATGTCTGTGGCTGGGAGGGTTTAAGCACAAACAAGACCTATTTCATGCCTGCTCAACAAGTCTTTCACACAAGAGCCAAATACTTCCCTCCCTTCACCCACAGAGCCAAAAGTGCTTTTCAAAGGGGATCAAAGTATCGTCATTAAGTTGTGTAGAAGTTGCTTTTTCTTATTCCCCTTTCCCTAATCTTTGTGGTTAGATTGTGAGGTCCTCAGAGCAGGGACTCTCCTTAAGCATTTGGAAAGCATCTAGCACAGTGGGTGCTACCTCAAGTCATTCAAAATAATCATCATCCCCATTTTATAGATGGGGAAACTGAGGCACAGGGAGGGAAAGTGACTTGACCAAGATCACCCATGAGAGGTCAGTGGCAGAGCCAGGAAGATAATCTGGGTTTCCTGACTCCCAAGGCAACTCCCAATCCACTAAGCCACACTGCCCCCCCCCATAATTTTATTAAATAAAAACCATCTAGGAGAGATGGCGATGGAGAGGCAGGTAGTGTTTTCTAGCATGACAGACCCTCAGAGGTGGGAAAGACCTACACATTAGGCCATCCAATCTTTCCCCCTGTTAATGCAAGATTGTTCTCTGCACGATATTCTCCAATATTTTTTCTGCATTTAAATGGCTCAAACCATGGGGCCTCCACGGCTCCTCCACCCCCTTAACAGAGTGCCTTGACAACAACAAATATTTCTCACTATTCTGCCTGGATTTCAACCTTAAAAATGTGAAGTACTACATATCATTACCCTAGACTAGAGAAAACAGAAGGTCTGATTCTCCCCTGCCTTGACCTCTGTGAAGCGGGCATAAAATGCTACCAAATCAGAGCTCTCCACTCTCACCACTGGTATCCTTCACCAGCCACTTTGCATAGGTAAAGGTTGGAAAAAATGCACCCAAGATGGCCCCATTACCACAGCATCCAAGCACTTCACAATCTTTAACGTATCCTCACAACCCCCCCGTGGGGCAGGGCAGTGCTACTATCCCCGCTGTACAGATGGGGAACTGAGGCACAGAAAGATTAACTGAATGGCCTAACATCAGACAGGGAGGCTGTAGCAAAGAAGGAATTGAGGCCAAGTCACCTGACTCCATAAGCTAGCACTTCTACCACTGGGCCATCCACGCTCTCATGGGAACCCACGGGAACTAGGCCTTGGGTGAAGTTAAGGAAAGCACCATCCCGTACTTCAGGCTGATGATCACCTGGAGACAATGGTGCTTTCTCTCTGCCAGCAGCACCTAGATGTCAGAAAGAACAGCAGGAGCTGCAGCAGGTCTGTAAGGATTACTAGTAACCTCTCCCCATTAGAGCAGAGTTTATCGGCAGACAGTCTGCATTCAGCACACAGGTCCTGGCAAAGTCATCCAACTTTCCAAGCATGCACACAATGACTTTAAGACCAGCATGTCATTACAGATGACAATATTAATCCATATCAATCTGGAACCACTTGAATAATCTCTGCTCATCTAGGATTGCATTAAAGCTCCCTCAATTCACTACAAAGTCATCTTTCACTGACAGTTTCCACATCCCTCTCTCCACCTTCTCAGTTCTTTCCGCCTTCATAGAGAACGTTGTGACATTTGCATGAGTACTGAAACGATTCTATGTCTGCAGTGTGTGGAAACCATTCCCGCCATAGCTGCCTTCTAGAAGGCCGGGGTATGGACAGGCCCTTGCTTTTAATACATCTCTGTCCTATGCACACATACGCACAATGGAGGATAGCTTCCTGCAATCTCTTTTCCTAGGATTGACAAAGTGGGTGAGGTAATATCTTTTATTGAACCAACTTCTGTTGGTGAGAGAGAGATGAGATTTTCCCCTGGGACTGCAAGTCATGGCTAGAGCTGGTGACTTTCTGGTAGTTCTCCTAACCAATACCCAAAGTTAGGGTAAAAACCAAGTCAGGGATATAAACCCTTATTCTTCAGGGCATAAGGAAATCATTAGCTCCCCATGCTTAGGAAGAAACTTCTTGTTTCTTAATCATAGCTCAAGCTTAGAACTGGGAGGTGCTAAGCACTCGGGCCACTCGTCAGCAAAGAACTTAAACACTCGCTTACTCTTATGTACACGAGTAGCTCAATGACCATTAGTCTGATGCTGCATTTGAATACTGTTCTCACATTCTGTATTTATCTATATGCACTCAGAGACAGAGAAAAATAAGTCCCTCGGTTTTCTCCATGCGTGGTCCAAAGTATTCCATGTTACAGACTGCAGCCATTCAGGCAAATATGGTAGAGTTTTAATTTTTTTTAAATAAAGGTCCTACGTGGGCCAGTTAAAATCTCTGCTCCCTGCAGCGGGCAGGGAGCTATTTAGGCTTAAAGAGCTGTGACTGTCCTTCGGCTATGCCAGGTTTTGCCCCCCCCCCCCCAGGAAGGAGTGGGGGTTGGGGTGTCTCAGGAACAGGATTTTAAATCAGTAACTGCACGAGCTAGCTGTAAGAAGAACTGCAGGAGGAGAGTGCTCCCGCCACAAAGCCTGTGAGAACACTGTTGTCCTCGCAGTATATCGTCTTTTTCCACGGGTAGCCATAGCCCAGTGTCTCTTGTTGAGGTTTGTGCAGGAAACAGACCTAGTGAGGAAACAGCTACTGTGAGCAATCAGCTGCACTCTGCCAAAGCCCTGAGGACTCCCCCTTCTTTATACCCCTGGCCACAGCCGCCCCATCTTCATTGTATTCAATTCCTTTCATTTCTGTGTGCATCCATGTAATTTTTAGCTTATTCCTCTCTCTGTTGTACAGATTGCCATTGGCCACCCCAGAGGTGGCTGCATTGCTCTGGCTCTACAGGTACATAGCCTGTGAAGTGCGTCAGGATGCCCGCTACTATAGAAGCACAAGATGTGATTATCAATGAAGCCTCCAGAGTACAATGAAACTTTTAGGTCCTGGTCCTACTGATTCAAATGGGGGGAAACCTCCCGTTGGCATCAAGTGGTGCAGGATCAAGCCCTTGGTCTAAAGGTATTTTGGTATTTAGCAAGGTTACAAGGTGGCAAAATTGATCCCCAGACAGGCTATTGCTGTCACAACTCAATGATTCCACCACAACAAAATGTTGAGAACAGCTTTTTCTTACAAGACACCCTCCCCAAATCCCTGAAATTTCCCATTTCTGCAGTGTCAGAAATTGTTTGTGGACATAAAATTCTCCTGGAAAGCCGAGCCCCAAGAGCCCGGCAATGCTACATTGCATTATAATTCAATCCAAGCCCAGATAGAGGCAATTTGCACTCCTGAAATAGGGGTGGAACTGGCTTAAAAACTAACGAAACACCCCACATCAGAAAAAAAAAGTCCCCAGCCCAGATAAATGCATTATAAAAGCCCACTGGATGCCTGCAGTATGACCAGGTTCATGACTATGCAAGGATGGAAGCACAGTCTGACTCTTGGAATCTCCAGGTCAAGCAGACATCACGAGAGCTGCTGGGAATGTGATCGTGAGGTGTACAATGACTGTCCATTTGTCTGTAGCGCGTTAGCCCCAGAGTGCAGAGATGCTGAAACACACAAGCCTCTCTCTCTTGAAAGATCTAATGGAAGAAGTTGACAAAAGGATTTACGACCCGGCAGGGCGAGGCCGGTAACATTTGCTCAGCGTTTGAGGAAAATAAACCAGCGGGATGTCTTTTTGAAAGGCTGAACTCTTCCTTCTCCGGCTGTCTTTGGGAAACGGGCAGGGAGGATCAACATGCTCAAGCAGCCATGTGTTTGTCTGGGTTTTCAACATACCACAGTTCAGGGGATTTCAGAGTACAGGGGGTTTTGGAGTGGGAGAGTTTAGAAGATGAGGGCCATTTGCAAAATTCGACTGTGGATAGAAAACATGATTCCCTACAGTTTGGGGCAGCTCAGCTCCTTCTCTAGGGGTAACATTAAGAGAGAGCGCTGCAGGCTTGGTCCATTTTAAAGTTTCTCAAGCTTCTCCTTGATCTGTCATGTCCCCACACAAACACGGAGACCTCTGTAAGTGTTATGTAGCTGGAACCATTAATAGTCACTGTTCTAATGCTTAGATTTAAACATTGTAAGAGGCTGAAGAAGAGCAAGCAACCGTCTGTGAATCACACACTGCATGATAGTTCCTGGAAGAATGTCTGACCATAAATGATTATTCCATTCAGATCAGCAAGTAGTAGGGTGGATACACTACTAGTAGTTTCCATTCCATATCACCCCTGTGAGGATTAAGCATACATTTCGGAGCAGGGCACTCAACTACAGCAGTGCGGGAACTCTCTTTTTTCAAATACAGGGGTATTCTGCATAAACAAAGATGCACATTTTAATGACAGGTTTCAGAGTAGCAGCTGTGTTAGCCTGTATTCGCAAAAAGAGAAGGAGGCACCTTAGAGCCTAACAAATTTATTTGAGCATAAGCTTTTGTAAGCTATAGCTCTTGCATCCGATGAAGTGAGCTGTAGCTCATGAAAGCTTATGCTCAAATAAATTTGTTAGTCTCTAAGGTGCCACAAGTCCTCCTTCTCTGTTTGCTCATTTTAATGGAGATGAAATAGGGAAGTTTTCAAGTGTCCTTCAGTCTATACTAGCTAGGTCCTGTGATCTGGGCTGCTATGGTTAAAGGCGTTTCAGTGGTTGGACATTACAACCTGATCCTACAGTTAGGTCCCCGTAAAATCATTAGCATTGCCAACCCTCCAGGATTGTCCTGGAGTCTCCAGCAACTAAAGATTAATCTTTAATTAAAGATTGTGTCATGTGAGGAAAACTCCAGGAATATATCCAACTAAAACTGGCAACCCTAGAAATCATTGTAGCGAAGCCAGCAGGGCTCTGTGAAGGCACCATATTTGTCCTGATTGCAAGAGAAGGGCTGAAATTGGTCACCGAGGGAGTTCATAAACCTCATCTATAAAACACATGCTTCTGTCTGAGAGGCTGGTGTAAGTAGAAGGTCATCCCCCCCCCCTTCAACCTCCCCGCCCCCCACACCACCATTTTAGATTATGGTTATGAAAGCCACTTGTATAACCCGCCCTGCTTGTAAATAAAATGTGAAGAATCAAGATGGTTTGGTGATTTGCTGGAGTAAAAAAATCAAATGGTTGGCTGATTGAAAAGCGTCACTCCAGGAATTAAAGCACGCATACTAAGCCTACGTGTAACATGAGGAATACTTTATTGGTGCAGGAGTTCGGGTATACTACCACGGCAAAGCGCTCCTGGTGTGGATGCAGCTATGCCAGGAGAACCGCTCTTTGTACTGATATAGTAAAATCACCCCGCCCCGACAGAAATACACGGCACTGGTAAAAGCACTGGTTTGCTGGTGTAACTGTCCATGCCGGAGACTTCTGCCACCACCACTCTGTGGGTCGGCGATCACACCCCTGACTGACAGAGCTATGCCGGCAGAAGCCTGTAGCATAGACAAATCCTTGCTAAACAGAGGCAGTACTCATGCCAACTCAGTAGCTTCTAATAGTTCCAGAGAAAGACCCTTCCCTTTTTCCCCTCATCTATACTAGCTATTTCCCCAAAAATTCTAACCGATTTAAAAAACTATCAAAGCCCTAGGATAGGCCAGGCTCCAGCAACTGTGTTTATAACCGGTTTGTAGTTAAGCCTTCAAACCAGTTACAGAAAGCGATCTGCCTGCCAGAACTTCGTCCACACCACTTCTAAAATCAGTTTGAGCTTTAGGGAAAGTCTCAGCAGCAAAGATAAGGCCTTACTGTGTATTTGTGCAGCACCCGACACAAGGGGGCCCCAATCCCGACTGACATCTCTGGGCATTACTGTGACACAAATAGCAACACTGTCAAGGAAAACAGACTAAATTCAGCTCACAGTTCCCAAATGGAAACCAAAGGAGTTGCAGCCACTTAAACTAGAGCTGCATTTTGCTCACGTGTTTTCCAGATAGCCCTGGACAGATGTTCAAGTAGACCCAAGTATTTTGTGCCAAGAGAGGAATAGATACGTTAGCTGTAGATGGAACAATACAGATAAATAGTCCCTTCCAACCCTCCATTTTTATGATTCTATAAACATTTGAACTGGTACATTATTACTTTCACACAGATTTTTACCTAACGGATTCTGACGGATTGCATGACAATCATGTGATTTGCTGTTTTGTTTTGTGTTTTTAAGTAGGCAACCACTCCCCACCCCCCCAATCCACCCATGCTACCTCCTCCTGGAAAAAGAGCTGCCTGAATCTACACGTACGTCAAAGGGTACAAAGAAATAAATAATCTGCTCCTGACATTGCACGCCATTTGGATGTATGTTCAATATGCCCACCGTCATTGTCTCTCTCCATCTATATGCCGATACGTAACCAATTCAGGTGAAACACAACAGGTTAATGCTTTTGTGGCCCTTTATCTTTTCAAAGCTCTCCACACACCTTAGCTCATCCTGCAAAGTTTATTTTGCACAAAAGCCCTGAAATTGTAAACTTTGTAGAAATATACAGGAAAACCCCCTGCCTGAATTCATATGACGCTTTGTGTCCCCAATCTAGCAGCCAAAGGTGTAAGTATAAACAAGATCCAATGGCTTAAAGGTGAAGATAGACAAAAAGGAAAAAAGGGGCAACTTTGTAACAGTGAGGTAATTATTCACTGTAGCAATTTACCGAGGGTTGTGAAGAATTCTCTATCACCGGAAATTTTAAAATCAAGATGGGATGGTTTTTCTAAAAAATATGCTCTAGTACAAGCAGGAATTAATCAAGGAAGTCCTAGGGCCTGTGTAATACAGGAGGTCAAACTAGATTATCACAATGATCCCTTGTAGTTTTACAATCTGTTAATCTTATGTTTTGAGCATCAGGATTAAATTCAGAGCTAGGCAAAATAAAGAGGAGACAATGGCTCTTCATCTCAGATTTACAATGTCAAGGCCACAATCCTGCAATGCGCAGGTGAATCCTGTCACCATCACAATGCCCCACGAAAGTCAATGGGGAACCATCCTCTGCCCACTTAGATCCCATTGAAGGATCAGGGCTAAAGGGCCTGATCCTGAAAGTAACTGATTGTTGAGGAGCGTTTGCTGTCGTTTAACCCCAGTGAAGTTGACGAGAGTAAGCACGGCCCTGGTAGCAAGTGTTTGCAAAGTGGTTTCAAAGAATTAGAACAATTTCCCACAAAAGGAACCCAGCATTGTATGTCAAATACATATTGTGGATGTCAGAGTCGTGGAATGGTTCAAGCAAGAATAAATTGACATAGCAAAGGACAGAGCAAATGTAGAAGCTGCATAGAAAGAGTTAAGGAATCAGACAGCAGGTGAAATAAAACAGAATGACAAGGAGCCTCCAGTTATCAACTAGTTAATTCCTTAGAATCTTGTAAAGTGTGTTGACAGCCTCAGAAGATGCTAAGGAAAAGTCTATCACCTTCTGCATTGGAGATTGCACTCACATCAGAAAATAGCTGATAACTACCCATTACTTGTCAAGACACAGGCAACACTGAAGCCATGCTGTATGGTTAGTCCTCACCACAGCTCCTGGGAGGGACTCAGCGTTCGGAATGGCACATAGAAGTATTTTATTCCATATATGCGCTCATATTAACTTCTATGAGACAGAGAATGTGTCACAAAATTCTCTGATTACCCCAGATTTTGCTAACCTCCTGGGGCATAGCTCAATGAACCTAGATCTCAAGAACACTTTACACCGGTCCTGATCTTAAGAACGACTTGGCACGAAGAGGGTTTTATTTTTTTCTAACCAGAACTGGTAGATATTTCAAGGCATCCGATTGCAGGAAAATTCAAACACACACAAGCCATGAAACAGGAGGAAACCCCAGTAAGTGTAATTACAGCTCAGAGCTTTCATAGGGCTGGACTTCTGGGGGGGAAAACATGGCAGACAGCTGGAGCCCTGAAGTCAACAGTCGTACGCAGGAAGCTATGGCCTGATTGCTGGAGAGGACAGCTAGATAAGCCTAGCACATAACTTATACACAGGATCCTGCAAAACCTAGGGCTCACTGCAGATTTTATATTATAAAGGGCATAATAAAAATAAACAGCCAGGATCAAACAGCAGGAAGACAGGGAAGGGATGTAAAACCACTTTTACGGTCTGACTCAAAAGCAGTGGAAGAGCCGGTAGGAGTCTAAAGAAAAGGAGTACTTGTGGCACCTTAGAGACTAACCAATTTATTTGAGCATAAGCTTTCGTGAGCTACAGCTCACTTCATGGGATGCAAAGCTCATGCTCAAATAAATTGGTTAGTCTCTAAGGTGCCACAAGTACTCCTTTTCTTTTTGCGAATACAGACTAACATGGCTGCTACTCTGAAACCTGTCATTATGGTAGGAGTCTAATGGCCTTTGGAGCAGGCTCTTAGTGTGAGTAAAATGCTGCAGGGGAAAATATATTTTGGTACCTTCTTTGCATAATGAGGCCCATCAGCTAATTTATGTACATTCCACCTGAACCCCCACCACATAGAGCGACACACAACAGAATGACAGTGGCCCAGATGCAGTTCTTCTTGACACGGATAATCCAAAGCTCCAAATGCCCTCCCAAAATCATTGCTGAATTAGGGCCGATCCAAAGCTCAGTGAAGTCAATGGGAAGACTCCCACCAACTGCAGTGGACTTTGGAGCAGGCCCTACCCACTCCCAGCCAAACCCCCTTCTCTACCCATCTCACCTGTAGCATCAGCCAGTTCTTTGCAGCTTCCCCATTCTTCTCTATCTCCCCTCACGGAAGCAACCAGCAATACTGGAACAGGTTCCTCATGGGGACTGTAAGCAGGTCTCTGGTTTCCTGTCACCATCTGAATCACTAAACCCGACATCCGTTGCTGTGCTGGACAACCCCCTTTGGCTGATAAAGAAATCAACACACATTTTGACACACACTCATCTCAGCTGGCTCTCACTCAAACAGTTCATTTCGGGTTTGTTGGGCGGTGGGGGGAAGAGACTCAAACAAACCACACTAAATACACCTATTGCTAGAGCTTGTTTCTACACTGAAATAGTGCTGCAAAAATTGTCTTTTGCTCCTAAACAAATCAGTGCCAGCAAATTATTACTCCTCAGTCAGCAAGTCAGTACCAGGAATTAATAGCTACACAATTCACTACAATTGTTATTATTCGTATTACAAATAGCATCTAGAAGCCCCAGTTGAGTTCAGGGCCCCAGCCTGCTGGCTGCCGTTTACACACATAGGAAGAGACAGTCCCTGCCTCAAAGAACCACCGGTCATCCCCATTTTACATATGGGTATACAGAGGCCCAGAACAATTGCCCAAGACCTAAGTTGCTGTCTAGTGCCTTTACCACATCCCTCCCTCCCAGCTTCAGCAGCACTTTCCAGATTGAAAGCCTGCAATTAGATCACAGTCATAGTTTATTCCATTGAACTTTTCTACAATGCTTGAAGAATTGTTCTGGGTTTTTTGTTTTTTTGAAGATAGTGGTTCTGCTTAATGGCAATGGGGAAGAACTTATGGCAGGGAATTTACTTAGTGGCTCAGAACTTTTCCAAGAAAGCAGATTTTTGTGTTTCAGGAACAAAGTGTGCGCATAAATATAAAAACCCACAAAAACCATGCACACTGGTTATACCATGTTGTAAAGCACCTTCCATTGCTGTACGGTATCTCCCAAATATGCAGCTGTGTTTGTATTATATGTGCTTTAATAATTACGCACCTACTGGATGTTTTTCAGCAGACGGAGGGGTTTATTAAGCTTGACATTGAACAGTAATGGCACATAGTATCTGTTGTAACAACCAGGGATTTAGAGTAGCAGCCGTGTGAGTCTGTATTCGCAAAAAGAACAGGAGGACTTGTGCCACCTTAGAGACTAACCAATTTATTTGAGCATAAGCTTTCGTGAGCTACAGCTCACTTCATCGGATGCATTCCAGGGATTTGTGCACACATTCAGCAGAAGGTGGCATTTTTCTATCACAATACCTTATTGAACCAGCTCCCCAGTTTTGGGTCAGGAACGCCATTAGCCAGGTTAACATCAGAAAAAATAGAACTACATTAGCAAATACACGTGTATGTGTCATGGAGTGTGGGGGAGTCAGGGCCCTGCACCCCCCACTTCTGGCAATTCACCGTGACTCTCGGCCAGCCAGTAAAACAGAAGGTTTATTGGACAACAGGAACACAGTCTAAAACAGAGCTTGTAGGTACAGAAAACAGGACCCCTCAGTCAGATCCATCTTGGGGGGGGTGGGGACCCCAGACCCAGGTTCTGCCCTTTCTCCCCACCCCATCTTCCCAGCCAGCTCCAAACTGAAACTCCCTCCACCCCTCCTCTGGCCTTTATCTCTTTCCCTGGCAAGGAGGCCACCTGATCTCTTTGTTCTCCAACACCTTCAGTTTGCACCTTGCAGGGGAGAGGCCCAGGCCAACAGTTGCCAGGAGACAGGGTGTTGGCCATTCTCTGTGCAGACAGCATCACACCTGCCCTCTAGGGCTCTGCAACAATCACACCACCTAGATACTTAAGAAATGCATAGGGGAAACTGAGGCACACACAGCATTCAGAGAAAACATTAAGAACATTACCACTTCGTCAGTATGTACATGTGCAAATATATTTAAGTCTATATGTAACTCTGATCTTGGGACGAAAAGTAATTTTTTTCCATGTCTTTCAAAATAGCTACTATGCAAAATCCAGATTTGTGGAAGGCTACATTGGAAGCAGTATGCATGTTTGTAGATAAAGCGCCCTAGGAGCAGGGCATGGAATGGAGCATCGGTCTGCTTATTTATTATTTGATTATGCTGCGTTCTATTACGGGGATGGTACTGTGACCCTTCCCAAGGGTACCCGGGGCACCTCACTACCACCCGTCCTTAGCGAGGGAGCCTTGTCTGTGCCTGCTGGGGCTCAGCCCCAACTCTCCCAGCCACAAGCAGCATGAGCCCCCCCACCTCAGCCCACATGGGCTTTGCCATCCCTCATGCACGTTAGCGACAGACATACTCCAACTCCAGCGTCCTCCCAGCGGCCCCCTGCAGAGTCCACCTCCCGGTCCACTAAATACCCACAGCATTACCAGACCCGCTGTTCCCAAGGAAACAATCACCGCAGCTTAGTTAGACCTTTGAACACAGCTCCACCTAATGCCATGCTTCGATTTGTTTGCAGAGAAAGCAAGGATACGTTTATTTAAAAAGAACAGAGATTTATAGGATAGCAAACAAACATTGGCAAATAGTGCTACATAGAAAATCAAATCACAACATGCATTCTAGTGCCTAAACTTGACTAACAAGATGCCCCCTCTTGTCTAATAAGGCACTGTTTACCCAAAGTCCTTCTTGCAGCATTTTTCAACCAGGATGGCTGCTATCCTATTTCATAAGGCAAAGCCTGGCGGGAGAAGGATGCCCAGGTGTCTCTCTGCACCCCTAGATATATTAGACCAGTCCTTTGTTCTATAAAACAGAGTACCTCCTCTGTTTACGTATTTCTTCTGAAACGTCACCATCTCTTCATTTGACTCACTAAGCTAATAGACTTCTGTGTAAGACACACAATACACAATGGTCAGCTAAGAATATAAGCATCTCACCTTCTGTCTGGAGGACTCTCCAGGCATGCTACAGGTCACCTGCCTTTAACTACAAGGCCTTAAAAACATAATTTCCAATATATCTACAGATCTCCTTACATATAATCCACATATACCTTGTGCAAAGGTCATGATGATCAGTGTGACATAGGCTTTCAGAAATCTTCACTATCAAACCCAGGGATCCCTGGGACCCTTATGCACCCCTGTGGACTCTGCCTGTTGGCATTAAGATACTAACTGAGGTTATTTACCCTAGTGCATAATTTTGGATGTGGTTTTGAGCAATAGCAGGGCAGCTAGAACTTTGAATATTTTTCTTCCAAAATAAAATAAGGATTTTAATCAGAGCACTTAGCTATCGATCAGTTTATTAGGTGTTTTCCAGAGATTTTTCTCAAAAATATAGAATATTAGCTGTGCATTGCTATTTAATCTTAAACAACCTATTTCTAGTCCCCATTATTACAGGCCTGGTAAACAGTGAATGGAGAGAAGTGAAGAAGTTATTTTACAAGTGTAGTCACCCAATAGCTATATGTTCTATAATTAGAATGAAGATCATGGCTAGTTTTCTGTCTTCTTCAATATTAAAAGCAGAAGTGTTTAATTCCATTTGTTGCTCCATTCACATTATGACTGTACGTGACAAGGAGAGATGACTTTTTTTTCTTCTTCTTTTTGGTAGTTGGCACACCCTTCTGTGGTCATGATGTAAGTGTTCTTTATACCAACATCCCCCTTTTCCACTAGTTTGCAGCTTGTGTGGCCATTTTCAGGTGGATAGCATAGGTTTGAAATGCCATTGCAATGGAATGCCAATGTTTTACAACCACACTACCCAGAAGTAAATGACAACAGAAGGTTCCGTGGTGGAACAGACACTTGCTGGATTCAAGTGGCATGCATTTCCCCCAGTACTACAGGTAGACTTTTCCCTTGCTACACTGCTTTTAGTTTTAGATACTGAGCCATTTTCTTAATTTCTAACTAACTTAATTATTTCAACAGTAGGGTCAGGTATAAAAGCAGACTATTTACCAACCATGACAGCTGCACCTAAGAGGCTAGTTTGCACAGTTGGAAGGTTCCAAGATGCTGTCTCCTCTAGTGTTCAGGTTTCAGAGTAGCAGCCATGTTAGTCTGTATCTGCAAAAAGAAAAGGAGTACTTGTGGCACCTTAGAGACTAAAATTTATTTGAGCATTAGTGTTCAGCTACTTCTAGCCCTTTGGACTTTGACTTGTGAAGAACCCAGGTGCCTTTAAAAGCAACTGGAAATGAGATGACAGCCTGGCTGCAATAAGGGAATAGGAAAGATGAGGCCTTGGCTTGTTCAAATGTCCTAGTCATCAGGACAGAGCACACACTCAAAGCAGGAGAGAAGCTAGCTGAATACTCCAGTCTTTGTAATACAAGACAAGGTTTGGGGAGGGCTGGCAGCCTTCTTCCTGCCTGAGAGGAAGTTCGTGAATGGTTATTCTCTGGTGATATTTGAGGCTGCAAGACCAGTTAGTTCCCCCCCTCACACACTCACAGTCCCACTGATTTGAGTTACGGGTACAAAGGAGGGGTGATTGAGCCGCATGCTGTCACCTGTGGCAATAAATTACTTTGGCTACGTTTATACTCGAAGCTGAGGGTGCGACTCCCAGCTCAAGCAGATCTACTTACGCTAGCTCTCAAGTCAAAAGTGGGTAGCCAGCCCCAGTAGAAGGGTCGGTGGCGAGCAGCGGCACAGGTTAGCAGCCCAAAGCGTGTACCCACGGTATCCGGATGGGTTTGTTCTCAGGGTGGCTAGCCTGTGCTGCGGCTCGCCAGGCCTCATGCTGCAGCAACACTTCTTGTTGTCGTGGGCGAGCTCGCTGAAAGCTAGAGCAAGTCAGGTCTATTTGAGCTAGGAAGCACAGCCCTCCTCACACCGTAGACCCAGCGTCAGATGCCAGCTGAGACTCCATTACGCTTTTAAAAACGTATCCGTTTCAGGTTTTTCTAGGCAAGTTTATACAGGTTGCTCCTTTGGGCCACTGCTGCCTTGTACACAGTGCTCCACGTACCAGTTCACATCACCTCTGTATTCTAAGAAACTATTGACGTGGGGAGACTTCTAGAGGCACTCATCGGACGTAGGCACCCAACTTGTATTTGGGCCATTGAAAATGCACCCTCTAGGGGGTGGGAGAGCTAAATGATTCAAGTGTGAAGGATTTTAATTTGCAACCACCTTGCCTTGGAAGGTTGGCCGACACCCCTAATATGCCATATAGAAAGAGGAATGACAGATCAAAGTCTCTAGCACAATTAGCTTGGAACAGAGGTTACAACTGCACAGGCCTCAGCTAAAGAAGAGAGAACATTTCCTAGTCCACCCTTCTCACTGCCTTAATGCTGTAGGTCTAACCTTACCGTGGCTGTAACTGAAAGTGGCTGAAGATGTACGCTATGCTACCACCCAGTGGAAAGAAGACCTAAGTACAAAATAAAGACTGTAGCAGGCCTTTATAGGAGCTGAGTAGCAATTTGACATGAAAATTTATCCTGGCACATAATTTTAACCTTCCACCTTATACTTACAAAGGCTACTGTACACCACTTAATGTCAGGATGAATCTGGCAAAGGGTATTCTCATGCTAGTGTTCACTTTTTATGGTCAAGACAATCATTTCTAAATTGGAACACAACCCTACCAAGGGTAGAATGCTTTATTTGATTGTTTACAGCAATACAAGTTACACATTTGTTACAGTAGAGATATTAATGCAGGAATTTATAGAAATACTTACTGATTTTGGTTAAATTTAGAATAAAGAGGCAGCTCTTGGGAGCAAGGTGTGCACAAGTCATCCAGTCTCAGATACCACTCTGGACACTAACCTAACTGAAAACCAGTAGGCAGAAACAACTTGACATTACTACATGTGGCAAAGATAGCAAAATTAAACACCAACCCTAAAGTTTTACGTAAGAGCTCGTGGGTTTCCAAGTAGCACATATGTTTCTTTAACAGGGCTTAAAACTAACTCTTCAAGCCCACGGAGATTGTTTTGGGAGTAGAACAAAAGTACCAGGGAAGCCAATATTACAAGTTTTAACTTGCAGCTGAGAATGCAGTGTTAACAGAAGGTGAGTGGACCTGGCTGCATAAAAGTCAACGTATCCCTCAAACACTTTAGACATATGGGCTTATGTAAATATCTGTGTGTAAAATTGAAATTTTTCTTTTTTGTTAATAGTCTACAGTTTAGACTAGAGGTCTCCAAATTGTGGGACGCACAGAGGACCCCCAGCCTCAGCCCCTGACCCCCTGCTGGAGCTGCAGCCCCACTCTCAGCCTTGACTCTTGGGGGGGGGGGCGGCACACGAGCTGTGCAGACGGGGCAAAGGGGTTGTGACCCTGAAAAGTTCAGGGACCACTAGTTTAGACCCACTGACAATTGATTACACCATGATCATATACAACACTGGGACCAGTACTGCATTCCTTATAAACCCATATACTTCCTCTTTAAATCAACAGTTTTGGGAAGACAACAGAAATGCAGTGCCTGGCCCTTTATGAGTGGGACAATTCTAAGCAACGCAAGTATAGCAAGGTACAAGAACCATGGGGGAACAGAATACCAAGGCCAATTAGAAAGACCTGGAGTATTGTTGTAAGGACAGCAATATTACTACATATAAGCCAGGCCTTGTCAAGCTCCTAGTGTTAAAGGATTAAATTACTGCTGATGTGAGAGTCAGTGTATACTTCTACATTGTTTCAAATGCCTCTCCCAGCTCAAGTCCTCTGCCTATGGAAGTACTTTGCTTTAAAAATAAGCTGCTGAACATGTAGTTTGTCATGTGGAGCCAGTTATCACTAGCCAGAAAGGACAACGTAAGGTGGTACAAAATACAGAGGCTTTCAGTCATCTGGAGTAAAATACAGATCTTTGAGTCCCTATAACCCTGGGTAAATGGTATGTAATGTGTGGGATTTAGCCACCAGCTGATAAGAGGTTGATTACTACAAATCACTGCAAATTTAGCTGTCTTAAGAGTGAAAAGTAATCTGGTGTCCAAGTACACAAAGGAAATTTCTAAGCATTAAATACAAACATTAGTACTTTATATTCAGAATTTAAATCTCAAAAGCTGAGACCAACTGAATGCTTTTGGGTACCACCAAAATTATACTTAATTCTACATTAGCTGAACATATAAACAAATATTCTTCATAAAACTACCCTGGTGCACCACCACTACCTACAGTTAGCTAACAAATGAAAGGCATGTTATCTCCAGCACACTAAAACACCAGCAAGACACAGAAAGCTGGATGTCCAGGACCTGGCAAATGTGGCCTTGAATAGGACACCATGTCCTGTGATAAGTCAGTAATCACCAAGTAGAACAAACTGATGGTCTCTCCTTTTGTAAAAAGAAAAGGAGAACTTAGTTAAGCTCAGTCCATGCCATGGGATGCATGCTGTTAAACCCCAGGACGACGACTGGTGGGCCTGCATCAGAAGATACATTTGATACCTGATTTATCTGGATATTCAGGTTTGTCACTGTGATCCAGCCCAACAGCAGGATATTTAAATTTAGTTTCAGTCATAAATTATGTTTCCGTAATGTTTAGTTAGGAGATATTTAATGTATTCTAGTTTTCCAACATTGAAGTTTACTTCCAATTCTGAAGAATATTTCACTAGGTTGAAGACCTCAAATCCCCTGCCTGGTGACTGACAGGTTCATCCTGCCTCTTGAATTACAGAGCAGAGGAGTAGTAAGCCTGGACACTCAGAGAAACCAAGTATCAAGTTTATCTCCGAGACTAATGTGTATTTTTACAATGCTGTTACAAGCTGCACCGAAGGAATCTTGTGTCTCAGAAATATGCATTAAAAGAACACTAGCACAGATCCATTGGTGAAGAGGGACTATTTGCAGTCTCAGAAAAACAGGTTGCGTTCAACTTAATGTGATTTATTAGTACATTGTACTTAGTTCAAAAAGCCCATGCGAAGTGTAAAATAAAACAGAATGGTATTTTGCAGTACAATTTAGATGCTCTTATGTAATATTTCCAGATTTCCCACACAAAAAAAGCCTTAAAAGTACAGTAAATCCTTGTTTTCACAGGCACCTAAGAACTTCAACTCCTACTGCGGGTTTCAGTTATGCTACTAGGATTCTCAGAACACCAAGTCTCATGTTTCCCACTTTCTGCTAAAGATATGTATTTGAAATGCTTCTGTATTTTTAACCAGTCTCCAAGAGAACCTATTGCAATGTTAGAACAATGCAAACTACCCCATAAAAACAAGCACATACATTTTTCATTTAAAAAAAGTCATGTTACAGAACAGGCTTCTTTATGAGGAAGCCATCACGCCCAAGGCTGCTTAAGCTTATAAGCAGTTTCCCCAGTTTTGCCCAGCTACCTTATATCTCACTGCAGAGAGAAAAAGACCTCCCAATGGAGTACTGACCTGTGTGAGAAGACCTGTGTGTCCTATCAGGAAAGATAAATTCTAGAAACAGTTCAGAGATCTGTTCACTTAAGGCTGTTAACTTGTTCCACTTTAATAAAATGCTCTGCAAGAGGAACAGAACTAAACTTCTAATTTAAAATGAATAAAACCAAGAGACAAACTTTTAGAAGAATTGCAGCTTTCACTTCTGCATCTGTCAAGCAGCCCAAGGCAGAGAAAGAAAATTAGGATTGTTTTATTCAAAATGACCTTAAACACAAGTATTTTTACTGTATTTACAAACTAATTGATCAGTTTTATGCCATTCTTATAAGCTCCCAATGCTTTATTAAACAATCTCTCTCCACTTAAAATGTTCCTTTGCTACTATAAGATACACCCCATTGTGCATGAACATCTAATCTGATAGCTTCCCTATTTTAAATGGACTGACCAAAACTTTAGAATTAAATTCAATATTGCAGAGGGCTAAAAAACTGTAGCAGACTCAGAAATAAAGATGAGCATTAAATATTACTTAATGTTTTCTTTTATTTAAAAGATCATCACAAAATACCATATTCATAAATTTACTTTCTGTTATGAAGCAGAATGTGTTAAGTGTTTGGAATTCCTTTTTTACATTTAAAAGTCAACTTTATTGAGTAGAAGTGAGTTTATATGGGAGTTTGTTCTTAAAATCTTTTCCACATTGAAGATGCAAATAGGTCGTTGGCTATTATTGGTTTGGAATACAACCACACAAATGCATGTCTTCGTCTTAAATTAAGTATTAGTGTTAGACAAATGGTTCTTATCTCAGAAGCAGATTAAGTGACAGACAGAAGGAAGGAAAGAAGGATTGTTCCGTAAATTGCTGAGACTCTGATGTTAACAAGGCAACAGTAAGGAAAAAATCCAGTACTATCAGTGAATTTGGTACTTCCAAAACTCTTGGCCTCTTGCAGGTACTCTGGTAAACTGGTTGCTTGATACCTGAAAATTCTCAGCAGTGGTGTTTGGGACCCAAGAGTTCTTTTCATGCACTGGATAAGTCTTCACTTAATATTTTTTATAGAGTGTTACAGCTCAAAGTTTTTATAACACTGCAACTATTCAGTAGGTCCTTCCCCACACTCTTCCATCAAAACTGGTAACAAAATAATTCATATTCAAAGAGATGCAGCTATTACCACCTATCTATCTGAATCTCTATGCAGTACAAAGCAGAATTTATGGAGTTAAATGAAAGAATTTAAATCCTGTTCATTTTAGAGACTAATCTGTCAGCTCTACACCAATGGGCAAAGATATATAGGGGCTGAAGGCAAAAAGAGTGGCAAATTATACACTCCTTAAACAAAACAAAAATAAAAGTCAACTTTATTTGTAGAAACTTCATTTAAAAATTTACCAACCATGTAAAACTTAAAGAAATAGTAAGCAGAAAGAGCCAGCTAGCAGTAATGTGCTAGAACATGCACAGCTTTATAGCACCAATCTGCAGGTTCAAAAGAGTGTAGCATTTACCATTGGGGAGCTAAAGGTAGACAGCATGTTGCAAAACCTAATGGCAGATGCATCTTCCCATCTAGCATGCCTATTGAAATGAGTGCTCTATTTGTTCACGTAGACCGACAGCCACAGTGGTTTGGTGAAATCAATTACAAGGTATAGTCAGCCCAGAGGATTTCCTTGTGCACTATACACAGATATTTCAATGGAGATCTTTCTTCTCTTTTACTTCTGTCTAGAAGGGATATTTTTCCTTACTGTTGGAAAGGACAATCTAATTTGTTCTCTTAGTTATATGGAGCTCTATTGTTGTATATGGTAATCCTATTATTCATCATTGCATATGGTACCTAATTCTACATAGTCAGGGATGTATAGCTTACGGATTCTGTTCACCTTGCCAGGACTCTTCAGTTTACCTCTTTAGAGCCACAGCAATACAGAACAAAACATGCAGATCAGAAAAGGAGCACTGAGGACGTCAAAAGAAAATGATACTGGATAATAATTAAGTCTAACCTGTGCTTCTAAAGTAAAACAAACCCAGAAAAGAGAAAGTGCAAGCAGCACCTTAGTCTAGAGAGGATGCCACAATGGTGGAAGCAGCCACTGATTTACCTGCTAGAAACAGTGTGCTGCTTGGAAGGAAAAGCAGAGGAGGGAAAACTTAGCACAAAGCAGGCACTAGATACAGCAAAGCCAAGAACGTACTAAAAACCACTTGTTAACAGCTGACATGCATTCACAAGCTCTGTGTTTTGGGTTTCAAAGAAGACAAGCATCAGATGGCAGGAATGGTAACTGCAGGGTAGACGTTCCGGCAGAGCTAGTCACTCTGTACTGTCTTGCTTATTCTCCTGCCCGCCCCAGCCCCTCCACTCCCATTCCCTCAGCCCCAAGCTCATTCTTGCTCTTTTGCTGTTTCCTCTCGGGGCTTGGCTCCACCGAAGATAGCAGAGTTAGGGTTGGCTACTTGATTGAGGGGAGTAGCAACTGTTCGAGGTTTGAGCTGAAGTCGGGGCCGCTGTGCTCTTTCCTCTGGAAAGAGAATATTTAAAGATGTTAAAGAGGGACGAAATGCTGAGCAACAATTTTGAAATGCTCAGCTATATTATATGCATCACTTTTGCAGAGCTATGCAGTTTACTTCGGGGACAAGAATAAAAATATTGCCTGTTTAGGGTGCTAGCTTTAAATTTGGAGTGAATGCTAAAGATTAGCTTTACTGGAGATACTTAGTACAAAATATACAAGTTTTCCACCTTCTGTTGGCTCTCTGAAGTCCATGGAAGTCCCACGAAGGGGAGGTCCATCTCTAAAGCGACCAGTCCCACCACCCCCCATTGGGGGGGCGCCTGTTCGACGATCTCCACCAGGACGAGTTCCTCTATCCCGGCCTCCCAAGAAATCATCATCTTTGAAGCCTGAAGAAGGAAGATGTTGAGTTTTGAGAGCAAATTTTTGTCATACCTTCAAACTTAATGCATATCTGGATGACTTGATTGCTATGTAACTATCACTGCAGTTAGAACAAATACTGCAATGTGATTTTATGTAAAAGACAATTCATCTTGTCATTGAGAATCAAAGATCACTTCACAGACCTGAAGGAAGCCAAAACTAATTTTAGAAAAAAAACCCTAAAACTTCCACTTGAACTGGTAACATTACCATGTGGTTATCTTGACTCAGAGGCTATTTACCCACGTAGATATATATACCATGCTCACCAAAACATCAGGCGAGCTTTGGACATGAGTTCTTAACAGCAAGTGAAAGTATTGTTAAAATCACAACCACTATAATCTGGGAAGAGGGCTGAACATTACACCACTGAGCAGATCTAACACAGGCTTTCTGTTTAGAAGCACTTTGACTTTGCTAGCCACAGAAGTGGAGGCAGCTTTTGCATGGAGTATGTACAAGCTGTGTACGACAAAGAAAGGAATGAGGGAGCAGAGAAGCCTATATTTAGTACTATGAAAGCAAAGCCAGACAACAGTAATCTACTGATAGTGTGAAAGTGACTGCATGTCTCCAAAGACTCAAGTTCAAGAAACTAACTAAATAAATAATCAGCACTGGGGGAAAAACATCACTGGATCATTAAAGATGAGGTTTAGAGTACCTCCCTGTGATTTTTATATCAAAGAGAAGAGATCAGTAGAGAGAACCAGGAGAAGAGGAAATCACATCAGAAAAGGATTCTTGTACAAACACCACCTTTTGTAGTAGCAAATACTTCTGCCACGTTACCAGTGGAGCGTTCTCTCAGATTCATCAGGAATTAGGGAGTTTAGTATCTCTCCCAATGCAGTGTTTCATAACTATCAGAATATCAAAGTTTATTTGGAAGCATATTAACAGATCTTGCAGACGTTACCTGGGATTGAAAGCTATTTTGCCCCTATTATTAAATCTCTTGAATTAGAATGATAGGGTAGTCCCCTTCACCAGAGCAGAAATAGCAGTAAGGTTTACGGAAGACAAGTTTCAGACCAGTGTAGTGCCCCAAGAGACAGATGTTCTGTAACAACTAATTACAGTGACAGTTATTTAATGACTCGTAAGTATTTGGGTGCAGAAGAGTACCATTTGAAAGAGTATCATTTAAACTGTAATAAATTAACTGCATTATGAAATGCTTAGATATCAGACTTGCTGTCCATTTCTGTCACATCAGCTTATCCAAGTAGTGCAAGTAAACTGTACTTTCATGAATAGGCTACCTTCTGATTGCATTGATGGTTTTATCAGTGAATGGTCATCCATTCAACATCTAACTGGCTGGAACAGATTCCATTTCTTTCAAAAGGAAATTACTAGTGAAAGGCACAAGACTAAGACTTGGATATCAGAACTCTAGAGTACACTGTATGAGCAGTGGCATTACAAGACTCTCCTACTTCCCCTCAATATCATGCTCCTGATAGTATTATTTCCTCCAGGGTGAAACTGAAGCAGGTTGTGCAGTTTGCATGTCCATTCAATTCAAGCAGGGACTGACAACTGTCCATTTTGCAACATAACATCTCCCCACCAGAAAATGGATCCAATGCATCAACCCATTTCAGAGGGCAATCAACTGCTATCAGGTGGTTATGAATGATATCATCCAAGCAAGTAGGTGGGTTTTCTGGATGAAGAAAAGTTATCAACTTTTCAACATGAAAAATACATCCTTTGTCACCTGCTATTTACAAGCTGTAATCTGAAGCTACTTGCAACTACATTACCAAAAAAAGAAAAAAAGAAAAGATTAAAAAAGTAGAAAATTCTGGAAAACAATTTTTAATCATTCAGACTTGACAATCTCTGTTGGAGAAGCAAATCATGATTGTTCAATGTATTTGAAAGAAAAGATGAGACCATACTCCCACCTGTAGCAAAAATAAATATCAACTTGTAAGCATCTTGTGAAAGTTAAATGCATCATTTTCTGCACAGGAAGTACCTACTTCTGCTCCTATTCAGACGTGTACTCTGCTGATGAGTTTGTTTTTGTCACAGATTATGGGGCAACCCTCCAACTGTTCTCAATCATCAGGTTTTTAAAGGAAGCATCTATTTTGCAGATTCACACTGAACCACAGGCATTTTATCGCCTTTTCCAGAACTAATGTTACTCCGTGCATCCTGCGAGCTTCCCTGTCCTTGCTATTGTCAAAGACAACGGAAACCTTCCATCTGGAAAGTTCTGCTATAACTCACCTCAGATGCCTAAGTGAGACTGGTTTACAAATATTACTTCTATAAATTTGATACTTAATCACCAGTTACAGGACCCATGTAGTAGGCATGTCAATTAATAGGCAGCATAAGAAATGCAGGAGTTTGTCAGTAAGAGTATATATACGGATACCAGAACTGAAGTC